AATTATGAGAAACAAACAAAAATGAAAAAGATAGGAATAGCAATGAATAGTGATGTGGGTATAGAAAATGTAAGAGATATGAATGCAAAGCAATCAGTATTTAGGACATTGACCATAGATTTCGAAAAAAAAATGCTGCATATTGAGCGAAAACTATGATTATATTATAAGGCTGTCCTTTAAAGCATAATGAAACTATTCCCTTTTCATTTTAATCGAATAAGATAGTAAAGATTTTTGAATTAGCTAGAAACTGATGAGATGTTTTCACAAATCAGATTTTTAATCTCTATAATGCATAATTCACTCAATATCTCAATTTTGATATTGCGAGATATTTTTGCTATCGGTTTCGCAATTTTGACACAATAGCAAGAGGGTTCTATAAGCATTATTATCAACGTAGAATCTGAATATCATATCAGAAAATGTCGCAAATCCGACATTTACCCGACCAAATAGCAAAAATAATTGAATACTTTTCGCAAAAACTTTAAAAATCGATAAAAATATGAAATATAGATATTAAAGAGACTTTTTATATAATATTCATAAAGATTTTCCAAAAATATGATACCGCAAAATTAAAAAAGTGACGTCTTGAGTGGAGTCAAAGGTCGAAATTGCTAGCTAAATGTTTTTTAGCGAAATTGCGTATTGTACGTTTTTTTCGCAAAACGAAACCCTTAGTTCTAATAAATTTTCATTTATCTAGTATATTTTAAGCCGATATGTTCTCTCTCAAATTTTTGCCATAATATTTTATTTCTTTTGATTATATTTATCATGCATTTCTTTTTAGGTCATTGCTGGAATTGATGCAGCTAAGGATGTCAATTTGGAAAAAAAGTGAGAAAATTCCTAAAATGCTAAAAATAAATTTTCCAAACGCATTTTTTTATGTCATTTTTTTGATTTTGAAAAAAATTTGGAGAGAAGAACTCTTCGTTTTTGAATTTTGTCACGATGGGTTTAAAGTATATTAGACACATGTATTGGTATTACTATTTTTGTATATTTTGAGAGAAAATCCCTAAAAAGTGAGAAAATCTGAGACGGTTTGAGAAAATATATAAACTATTGAAAATTTGAATTAAACTTCTAATTTGGAAAAAAGAAATTTGGAAAGAAGAAAATTCAAAAATCGAGATTTAGACTCAGTATCAAATGGAGAACAAAATGTTTCTTCATATGAAGGAAAAAAATTTTTTGAGAAGAAATAGAGTTTTTAAAATTTTATTGTATATAATGAAATAAACAAATATTAAAATTATTTTTTGATAACAAGAAAATTCCCAACAGAAAATATTTGAGACAAAGAAAAAAAGAAAATTGAAAAATATTACTCTCCTTTACATTTCATGAGATTTTCAATTTATTTTCATAAAATTGACAATTTTAGTTTAGATGAAAATAAGTGATTTTGCTTGAAATAAAAATTATTGTTTGTTTACAGCTATCAAATAGATTTTTGCTATTTTGATTAAAATTTATTAATCAAATTAATAATTTTTTTTCTAAATATCTTAAATATCTGGATCACTCACTGATACGATGAATTAAACGATAAAAATAATACAAACTCAACTAGGTTTCCTGTCTTTCAACCAAAAAATATTATGCAATTTAAATTAAATTGTTTATTCAAAGATAAAACAAAGATAAAGTAATTATAATTATCATATACTTTATGAATAACTCTCTAATTGGATAAGATTTTCGTACAAATATTTTTATTAATATCGATAAGAATATGTTTACCTACTATCACCATATGTCGATAAACGAGAGTAGAGTGATTTTTATCATCGAAACTTTTTAAAAGCTGTAAGCAGGAAGTAATAATCTTGTTTTTTCTGAGTTAGTTGTAGAACTATTGATGCCCGAGTTATCATTGTGATGCAGAAGGATATCAATGTACTGAGGGAAGGATATGAATTGAATTGAATTTTATTGAATTTCAATTTGATTAAAATTTGTTGAAATGATATGAATGTGTCAATATCTGTATGACTCTCCTTCACTCCTTCCCTATTCTTTCGAGAACGAAGCTAGCTCAGCTTTCGCTGAGCGAATTGACACTTTTCATGCCCTAAACGTACATACTCTCAAATTTATCGAAAAAATTAATACCACCTAAACTAGTATATTCTTATTTTAAATATGATATTATCCTTATATTCCACACTAAAATTCATTTAAATCAACTTTTAAAAAAGTTCGAATCCTGCGCGTCTCATTTTTTAAATTTTCCAAATGGAAAATTATATTCTCCTAAAGTGAAAACAATTTTCCAAATTGACTTGCTTAATGCAGCCATTAAGGGTGCACCCGTATGTACGTTTATTTGAGAGGAGGAGGATTACCCTCTCAATTTTGAGGGATTCGTTAGTTTATTTTCTCGATGAATATGCAATAAAATTTGATTTTTACCTTATCAATATACTTCATCTAATATACACATGTTCATGTAAAAACTTTTTTCCAAAATCCTCAGGAATTAAGGGATTTTTGAATTTTAAGAATTTTTTTCGAATTTTTTCGAAAAAAAAATATTTTCAGAACAGCCTTAACGGCTAAGATTTAGGAACAATGTTAAGTATCAAAAAGAAAGGAGGTCTGATATAGACAACATATATCGTTGAAGGTTGAAAAAATCTCTAATATTTGAGCCCAAAATTTCAAATTTTAATTTTTTGAAAAAAGAGGCCACCCGTATGTACGTTTATTTGAGAGGAGGAGGATTATATTTTTGAAAGGGTGAAACATTATGAATATGTTAATTATATAATAATATGTATTATTATAAAAAAGAAAAAATAAAGCACGTTAAAATTTTTCTTTCTTGATTTTTTACAAAATCTACTTAGAATTATGCAAAATATAAACATGGCACGGCGGGCGCAAAAAGTGACAAAATAGAATACCTATGGTGGCAAGACAAAGGAAACATTTTTGTAAGGCAAACATTATATCAAATACCTTTACTTTGTAATAAGAAATATAATTATCACGAAATTACAAATAATTATTGTTTAATATAATTAATAGCAAAATTCTTTTTTATTATTTCCCTTAAGACCTTGCTTATTAAGTATACGTATAACAAGCTTGTACTGCATGTATTAGTTAATAGAACAAAAGAAAATGAGCTCAAATGAAAAAAATTTTCATGCTATTTTGGAAATATGCATATTCGAAGTATGAGAGTTGTAAACACTGAGAATTTTAAGCTTTGGTTGATGATAGTCTTTAATTTTTCTTGAAGTAGTAAATTATTTGATATGAAAATTTAATGGCCAGCATAATCAATCGTGCGTTTCGTTTCTTGATTGAGAAACGATGATTGTGTGCTAATGAATTATTGCGTCTGACAGGTTATGATTATGGATACCTGAAATTAAGCTTTTATGGGAAACATCACCGAGCGCCATTTGGCGCCCCTAATGCTGTTTCTATCGGTATGATTAAGGAGCTTTCTTATGCACTTTCATCACTTGAACTTGAACGCTACAAGATATATGCCCCCCTCCCAATGGGAGGTGGAGCAAAAATTGAAATGTTTACATTGATTTTTGAATACTTTACAAGCGCCCCTCCCAGTGGGCGCGGGCGCAAGTGATCGGGTCAAAAAAAATCATAAAAATATTCAAAATTGCGATTTTAATAGATGTTTAAGAAGTAAATTTATTAATAACGATATTTCATAGTACAAAATGTGTTCAATCTCTTCGTAAATCATTCAAAAAAATCAAAAGAATTTCCAAAATTCAATTTTTTTAGTAAAATTTATATCTTTTTCTATTGTCTGCTCCCCACCAGTGGGAGCCACCGGAGGCGCGGGCGGCGCCGCTGGCGCCAAAAAAGTAGCGCCCATCGTGCCATGTATAGCAAAATATGACTAAATAATTATAAATTTCAAGTTAAATTTTAATTTTGATAAATAATTTAAATTTCAAAATATCAAGTTCAGTTCGACTATGTATGTAGTAATTCCTCAATAAAGTGCCAAAACCCTATTAAAATATATGAACATTTTCAACATTTTAATGTTTTTATTTAAAAATTTGATGGAATATGAGCTTCAAACAATTATTATGTAAATAAAAATAATTAAATATATGTATTTATTCGTATTACAACCGTAGTAAGTCGATTCTTCCTTTCTTCTACTGAGTTTTGAATTTGATTTCGAATTGTAAAGAGATTCAAAGGGAAAATACTAGCGGAGAAAAACTACCTCCATGAAAGGGTCATAATGGACTCAAGTTGTATTTTTTGATATTTTTTGCTTTTCGAGCCTAAATAGGTAGCCAAGATAATGCCTAAAAATAAGGTTCTAAATTCTGAAGTTTACATGATCCTCTCGTGTGCACCCTTAATGATATTCTTTTTTGGGTGAAATTATCAAGATGAAGATTGTGTCTCATCAAATAAGAAGACATATATAACTTTATTTCAATTTACAAAGAATATTGATATATAACATTATTTCGGATTTTCATAAAAAACTTTTTTTACAAATCATACGAAAGGGCTATTGATTACAAATTACCACATTCATATTTACTGGCATAAGTCAATAACATATTGAAATCCTCTTACTTGAACTTACATGAAATTTCAATCAATGTTCTTTTTTTAAATATCACCATTTTTGCTAATGCCAATTGCGTTTATAGGCAATGCTAAGATTAATTATAATCACACTTCACTTATACTATGGTGGAAGTGATGAATGAGACGGTTGTTCAAGTAATACGATATGAATAATAATCTTTTCAACACACAGATGTTTGTATACCTTTTCAAATGTGCAAATTTAATAAAAAGTCTTCCACTTTCAATTTCATCTGCAAAATTTGGATTTCAGACTCACCAAAATTGTTACATGTAATAATCACCTTGCAAGTATTCTAATTTTCTTTTCTTTGTTTATCAACGTTCCCTAAAACGATGATGGCTCCAAAAAACGTGACAAATTTGAAATTTCATAAAAAATGATTCATTCTTTATTCATTTTCCGCAGATTCCTTCGTGATGACGTCCCAACAGTCAACTTTGATGCTGAAACTTCAACTATGACCATTTCTGGCGCAGGAACTCTAACACAAGAATTAATTCTTTCTAAAGACCCAAACAACGCTACAAAGACACTTACCATCGAAGGTGGATTAACTATTTCTAGTAACTGCTTTTCTTCACATCCAAATTTGCAAAAATTAACAATAAATTCAAATAATATGAATATTCAATCTTTGGCTTTTGAAGGATGCCCACAACTCTCAACGTTAGAATTGTCTGGCATATTTGGTGATCTTGGTGACCATATCTTCGCTCATTGCCAAAGTTTGACTCAAATCACTCTTCCTGAAACTTTAACTGTAATCCCGGACTCAATGTTTTCGAACTGCCATAATATCACGAAAGCTACCATTTCTTCCCAGACAACAACAATTTCTCACGGTGCTTTCGCAGATAACGAAAAATTAGCCGAGATTAACTTCCCAGACACACTTACAGTTATCGGTGAAGAAGCCTTCAAAGATACAGGATTAACCTCTGTTACACTTAACAAGGTAAACCTTAGTGCACGTTCATTTGCCGAATGCGATGCATTAACAACAGTTACCATCGCAGAAATCGCTGAAATACCATCCAACTGCTTCTTCAAGTGCATATCCCTTACTACAGTTACAATTACTTCAGGACTTACAAAAGTAAATTCTCAATCTTTCTTGGATTGCAAGAATTTAACAACATTCACATATCCTGATACACTTGCAACACTTGGCGATGCCTCATTCCAAGGCTGCCAATCTCTTAATATCGAAATTCCAAAGATATTAACAGTAATTCCAGATTCTTGCTTCGAAACAGTTCCATTTGTCAATCTCACTATTCCAGATACAGTCCAGACCATTTCTGGCCTTGCATTTTCACACAACGATCAACTTCGTGTAGTTATATTACCAAAGTCACTTAAATCCATTGATTCCAGTGCCTTTTCATACTGCAACAATGTTGATTCCTATACCATCGCTGAGAATGCCAATTTCTTTGTTACAGACGGAATTTTATTCCAAAAATCCGAATTTGGAAACACATTAGTCCTCTATCCACCAACCAATGAGCAGGATGTTCTGATGCTCGACCCGTACAACGTAGCAAATATCGCTGACTGCGCATTTCTCGGTGCAAAAGTCAAATCTCTTGTTGCAACTTCCCTTGATTCCATCGGAAAATTCTCCTTCTTCTCATCCCAGATCAAGACCTTCAACGTAAGAGAAGGTTTGAAGGAGTATCCGGAATATGCTTTCGCACAAACACCGATAGAGAGCTTTTCTGTGCCTAGCGGTGTCACAAAAATAGGTAGATACTGCTTTAACGACTGCAGGAACCTTTCCGATATCACTTTCCCAGATACATTATCCGAAATCGGAGATTATTCCTTCCAAGGAACAAATGTTCAGGCCATCGTTGCTCCCATGGTGAAGGTCATCGGAAACTACGCCTTCGCAAACTCTTATATCCTTGGAATAGATTTAACCGAAAATCTTACTTACATCGGAAACAACGCATTCGAAGGCGCCTTCCGCTTGACCCACATCACATTGTCTTCCAGCATCAAGGAGATCCTTCCTTGCACATTCAGAAGCTGCCGTTCCCTTAAAGAAGTCGTCTGTGGAGATATCATCTCAATTGGCGACCAAGCGTTCGAGTACTGCCACGCTCTCGTAAACGTGACATTCAAGGATTCATTACAAAGAATTGATTTCAACGCTTTCCACGAATGTTACAAATTACAGATTTCGGAGTTCCCAGCTGCCATGAACCATATCGGATTCTTCGGATTTAGCACATGCTATTCACTTACAAATCTTACCTTCTACGGCGATGTTTATATTAATCATGACGCATTTTACAACTGCATCAACCTCCAAACAGTTACATTCGCTGTCAAAGCACGTCTTCTTGGCAGTATGTGCTTCTCGTCATGCATTAAACTCACAACTCTCAACTTTTTGTCGTCAATTATCGAATTCCAGAAAACACCATTCTACAACACTACAGTTGCCGAAGTTGTCTACTGTGTTGACAGACCAGTTGAAGGACCGATGTTCCCGAATACTCCTACCATCAAAGTCTCAAATTATTATCCAAAGGACAAGTTTGCCGATATAACTCCACAAGTTTCCGAACTCCCACAATGCCCACCATTACAAACTCCATTGCCAACTCCAGAAAGTTCTGAATCATCATCCGAAATCTACACTCCAACACCAATTCCATCCTACACACCAGAGCCACCAACATCCTCTTCATCGGAGTCTTCTTCAACCGAAACCGAAACACCAAAACCAACCCATATCCCAACTTCGAAGCCAACAGAAACGCCATCACCAGATCCAACAGAAACACCATCACCAGATCCAACAGAAACACCATCACCAGATCCAACAGAAACACCATCACCAGATCCAACACAAACACCAACTCCCGAGCCAGATACTCCATCTCCATCTAGATCTCCAACAAAGGAACCAAACACGCCAAAACCAACACAGTCTTCTTCTTCAACAGCTCCTGGACCATCCAGTTCGCCAACTCCAGACCCAGCAGCTCAGAAAAGAAAGAGAACAATTATTTACGCAACAACTGGTTCCATCTTAGCTATCATCATAATTGTTGTTGTCGTCATACTCGTAGTAACAGCATTATCACGCAGGAAGAGAGCACAATCCGAAATACTTACGGATTCAATTCTCACTCAGATTCTATAAGATTTAATCTTTAGTCTATAATAAAAAATTTAACAAATATTATTTTTATTGAATTTTAAACTGGAATTGAATATTTTTATAATTGATCATCGAAGGCGTTGGTGATATAGAGAAAAATATTAATTTCCGTGGAACAATCTTTATTTATGGCGTTGCTGTTTTAGTAAATTGATGTGATTCATCTCATAAAAACAAAAAGAAATTCATTCGAACATTTTCATTTCAAATACACAAATTCATCAATAATGAAACCGTACTAAAATGGCTTTGACTCGTTGATGTTCTTCACATCTTCAATGAAATAGTTTTCTGCAAGAATGAAAATACAAATATTGATTAGAATACTTCAGTAAAGGACCTTAGGAAGATTTCCGACCTAATTTTATGAAATATAAAAAGTTACTGACTTAAAATTAGATCTTTCCGATAGAATAATTGAAACTAAATCATCAAACTCAAAAAGTTGCCAAATACAACGATCTCCTCACATACCGAATCGATATTAAGTATCTAATAACTACTTTATTGTAAATACTTCTTATTTTTTGCTTTCATATTTGATCTTTTTTTATTGATTCGTTATTTTTTGCAGATAAAAAGGTGTTTTTCAAGCAAAGGATTGTTTTGATACCTAAATATTTGGTTTTTAGGGTTGTTAAAAATATCAAAAATTAGCGTTTTGAAGACACCATGGTGTCTTATAATTTTCCCTTCCTTATTGGCGTGTAGAAATAAATGCGCCAATAGATTGAAGAAGAATTGTTTTTCTCTTAATGAACTTTAATCCTTTTGATATAAGAATATTAAAAACATTAATATAATTTCGATTTCGGAAATTCAATTTCCATATTTTTTGTCGATTTCGGAAATAACAGGATCCCGCATCCAACACGCAACAACAAAACACAAAACACACTTTTTGGTTCATTCATCGTTTTAATCGTAATTTATGTAATACATGATTTGGATAAATTTTACAAAAATAGAACCTATATTATATTCTTTTCAAAGATTCTTGCAAATCATCAAAAATAATTGTATTTTAAAAAACGATCAAATTATCCTTTCATTATTTTAAACTTAAATTAGTTTTTATGATTGACTAAAGCAATCATATTTATTCATCATTAAATAAACAAAAAAATAATATTTGATAGTTATTTCAAAAAAAACACATTGAATTTATTAATTTGTCTCAATTTCAGTATTATAAATTTTTATAATTTCAATATTTTGAAATACACTTTTTAATATTTCAATATTTATGATATTTCAATGTATTAAGTGGTCTCAAATTGAGCTTCTCAAATATAAGTTGGCCTATTCAAATAATAAAATTAAATAATATTTAAAATAATAAATAAAAGTGGTTGAGGTCATAGCAAAACGGCTGTTTCAGTCATTAATTCTTAAAAATATAAAGGGTAAAAACTAAATAAAATGGGTAAAATTCAATAGTGTCTGTGCTATCGTTCAATTTGAAGGTGTCTTTTGAAACCGCAAGACACATTGAATTTTTGAATAGTGTATTATGGTTTGACAGACACCAATGAAAAAAATAAAATGATATTTATTTTAAATATATAAGATCCTTATATAAAATATAAATATTTTATCGTTTTATTTTCTTGTTTTAGAAATGTTTTTTATTGAAAAATCAATAAAACTAACTCCAAAATAAAATTTTTGATTTAAAGACACTATGATGACACCAGGCAAATCTTCCAAGACACCTATCGTCGGGAATCTAACAACCCTATTGGTTTTCATTAGAGCGTAAAATTCCAAAAAAAATTCAAAAATTCAAATATGAAATAGAAAAATAAGAGTTTTTAAGTAATAAAATGAATTTTGAAAAAAATTTGGAAACCAAAAATGTCTTATAATATGTGTATTCTCAGAGACATAGAAAATTTTTAGGTAAATCTCATTATTTAATGATAATTGAAATAGATTTTCGAAACAAGGATTTTATATTGTAGGGTTCTTAATACATATGCTTTCTATTCGAAGTTTTATTGTACAATTAAAAAAAGTATTAAATTGAATAAATAAATTAAACATTTACAAATATTTACAACATGTAATATCGATCGAAGGCATTGACATTAACATTTAAGTATTTTCTTGTATAAGTCGTTGGATGTTGTTCAACATTCGTAGAGAATGGATTTCATATTTTTTGATGTCGAGTAAATTGATTATGATTTTATAATTCCTTGCTGCAACAATGCTATATTTTGGTAAAACTTTATTTGAACTTCTTTTTTTTTTATTGATTGTTCTGTTATAGAATTTCTTCGGGATCAAGATACTTGTAAATCCTGGTAAGAAGAAATATTATCGGGAAACTTAAAAAAATTTAGTGGTACAATTGATTGAGGTCCAGAATACTCAACACATGATGAGAAACCTAGGAAACAAAACATTTTAACAATTGATAGTTTTTTTTTAAGAAATCTATCATACTTTGAAATGGATATTTCAAAAGCTTCTATATATCCTAGCGTTATTAAAATGCATTTTGTTTGTATTCACAAATTTTATTGAAAATTGAGAGCATTGAAATTTGATAAATGATTAATTGTGTACAACCAGAAATTTATTAATAGAACCAAAAACACTTTCCATGATATTAGAGGAAAATGCAAAAAATGACTGTTAATATAGAGTTTCAAAGTTATAAACTAAAACTAATAATTTCAATTGTATGACTGATTATTGATACAAATTCCAAACCACAGAATTCCTTGTATTGACATATTCTTAATGCATTCAATTTTTCTGGGGTCTTTCTTAAAAATGTAGTCAATTTGAATGGAATTAAAACTGTGACATGTCAATTTCGAATATGTCAGATATCTATTTCTTATTTAGTATGTCCACTGCAATAATACAAAAGAGAAGTTCAAAGCAACTGCCAACCAAGAAGAATTCAAAATATTCAAAGTGGATTTCTTAACCAATCGTATTTTAACTATTACTAATATCATCAAAATGAAGAAATGGAGCTTCTCATTTTCCATCAATATTTTACATTCCTTCACAAAATATTTATGATTTGAATTGATTCAAATTTGAGTTTGTGTTAATTGAAATATTACCAGAAGGTATTTATTATCAATAAGAATGTTTTCCAGAATATTTTAAAATTAATTCAAATTTCATTTCACTAATCAGATTAGTTCATTACTGAAGAAATATTAATATCAATGCGTTCTACTACATATTTCTAAAAAGAATTAAGTTTTCTTCTCAATTTTAACGACCAATTTGGAATTTATAAAGAATGAATAGTAACATAATTTCAAATACATTTTAGAAAGTTGGTTGCTTCGGGATTTGTCAGATTTTTTATCCAAATTTCTTTTAAAAGAATACCTAAGGAGATAGCAGTATAAGAAGGTTAACGATATATGCGATTTATTAATTGAAACGAATTAGTCACAGAAATGTTAAATGAAAATTGTTGAGTATGAGATTGATCTTGGATATTTAAGACAGCCTTATTCAAAAATTTTATTTGCGCGCTATAAAAATAATTAACTCCGATTCGAATTAAAAAAATTATAAAATGTTTGATTCATTAAAAGACATTATATCCAACACCATTAATATTGTGTTTTGAGAATGAAATTCGCTTAGTTACAAGCAGAAATTAGATTTATTTTGATGAATTTTTAAAATTAAGAATGAGCCTATTATTATCGAGTACTTATAATTCGCATAGTAAAGATCGTTTAAATAATTACTTATCTCGTGATTGCAAAGATTCGTTAAAAAAATTGCGCAAAAATTTTACATGGAGGGAAAGAATGAAAGCCCTCCAAAAGCTAAAACAATTAAATCACTTTTAGATCCGCTTACAGAAAAGCGCTTGATAGGGGACTTAAAACCACCGAAGCGTCATTTGTCATACTCAGAGAAACCTCCAAGAATTGAGCACATGATTCATATGAGTCTGAAGCCGCCAAAAGCAGCCGAAAATCTCTCAAAACTTGATTCCGTTCAGACTCTTATTAAAGATTTTCAAATTTTGGAGGGAGAAATACACTATTTGAGGCAATATTCTTGTCCGCCAAATTCAGATAAGCTATTCAGCACTGTGGCTGATATACATGATAAAATTCCGATGTTTGAAGTTCATTGCAAAACAATTACTAAACAAAAAAAGCTTCATGCAGAAATTAATCCAAAAGCTTTCGAATACTACAAATCATTCGTTGTTTCGTTTGATTTCTTTATAGAAAAGTTAGAACTCTATCGAAAACAGATTCATAGCTCATATTCTCACGCAATTAAATCAAGTTTCAGAAAAATTGAAAAGAATGTGAACAGTTTCTTCGAAATTTGCTACAAAGATCCCCAAGCTAGAACAATTGCCGTTCAATATCGAAAATACTGCGATGATTCTGTCAAAGAAATCAAAGAAGTACTCAAACCTTACTTAGAACAAGAAGATTTTGATCATCTTAATGATGAACAGCTAGAAAAATTCTCAGAAACTACGAAAACATTTGGAAGATTCTTCGAAAAAGAGTTATTCCCTCTTATTGCTTCAAATATCAACCCTCGCTTATCAATTTCAGAATATATTGACGTTTTCCACGAAAAGTTTGTATATATTGTACCGATGATTACTAGTGCCCCGTTTTTTGTAGAACAATATAAGATTATTATGGATAAAGTAGAAATATTAAAAGAAGATATCAAGAAAGTGAAAAAGGAAGTTGGCGATGAAAGAATTCTTAAGATTAGACCGAATAAGAAGCAAGAAGTCAAAGTAGAAGTAGAACAAGATGATATCAAGCCTGCATTGAATGATTTAGTTAAATATTTCGAACCAAAGATAACTGATTATGATAAAGATTCAGATATCCTTGTTAAAATAAAGGAAGCCGCTGAAGACAAAATTGGAAAATTAAAATCAGAAATTAAATCTCTTGAGAACAAAATAACAGAAATAAACAACAAGAAACCAGCGGACATAGCCACTGAACAATACAAAATGCAGTTTAGCGACATCAAGAAACTGAAAAAACAATTAGAGGAAAAGATTCTTGAAGAAAATGCTAATTTTAACAGATCAATTATCTATTCCATAAGAAATATCTTGTCCAATCCACGTTTGAACACGTCTGATTCGCATATCCACCAAGTACAGTCATTAATTACACAGTGCAAGGAGGAAATGGACAAAATAAGAGAAGAAATGGATAAGACAAAAGGAGATTTTAGTAAAACAAAAGATTATCTTTCGGAAATTTACGAAACACCTTTAATTACTGAAGAAATGCCATTAAACAATCTTGCAATGAACGTTGTTTCGATTGTTAAAGATGAACGGAAAAATTACAAAAAAACGATCGACGATATGAGAAGTTTGGCCAGAGAAATGGAAGAAAAAGTGACGAAGATGCTGACAAGTAATTTTGGGGTTGACAACGAAGAAATAAGTGACAAAAATTACGATACGAAGTTGGAAATAGCGGAAAGGCAATTCACAACAGTTGTTGAAGAACTCAGGAGATCACGAAGCGAATCAGCCAGTTCAAATGCCTCATTAAAGGAAATTTGCGATAAATTAACCGAAATTTCCGGTAAAGAGAAGAATTTAGATTCCACGATAGATAATATCAAGAAGATCATTGAGAGTATCGATGATGAACTCAAAGATAAAAAGAATCTTCAAAATGATTTAATTTCTTTTGTTTCAGCAATAACAGAGAATTTAACTATACTAGACATTAATCCTCCCAAAGATTATGATGAATCAAAGATAACAATGCACCAGATCATGAGTTCTTTGGAGAATTCCCAAGCATTAGCTTCTTCTATCATGGATAACTCACCAACAAAAGGATTGTTCAAGAATGCAGCTGCTTATAGATCACTTGCTTTGGACATAACATCAAAACTCTTGAATATATCGAGATCAGACTTATCTGGACAAAAATTTGATGACATCAAAAAAGCGGTTTTTGACAAAATTGAATTTTACGAAACCGTCGTAAATCTTGGACAAGAAATCGAGAAAGTAGAAAAAGAATCACAGGATTCGATGCAGTTTATGACGAGAATCAAAGAAGAAATAGAGAATTCTAGGAAATTAAACGAATATCTCGGTAAGCTGCATGAAACTATTAAACAGATGACAGAAATGATAGGTGGAGAGCTTGTTTTCCTACCAAAGACAGATGCGTCCAAGAAACTAAAGAGTATTTCAGAATCATTACAAAATTCGAAAGACAAAGATAACCAGATTCTCAATACAGTTGTTCAAGACTTAATAGATTTCAACGATAAGCTATGTGATCAAATACAGAAGGGAAAATTCTCTCCAAAAAGGAACCGGAAATTAATTAAACAAAATGAGAGACTTGAGAACGAAAATTTCAAGCTAAAAGAGAAACTCATAGCTGCAAATATCGAAGTACCTGAAGAAGAAGATAAAAATAGCTCCTCTTCATCTTCTTCGTCAAGTTCGTCATCGGATACCGAGAAAAGTGACAACGAGGAACTAAAAAGTGACACAGATGAGTAACAGTGAAAATAAATTTGTACTCATAATATTTGCTGACTGAAAGCTAAAATAGTCTGAATTTATGAAACGGTATTGAATGCCTTAGGGCGTTCTTGCGTTATCCATGTTTTTGGATAGGGTTTTTACAGGGCCTGTCAATTCTGTAAAATTTTCAATTGAAAGGTTCATTCTTTAGAATAACTGTATTTGTTGTATTTTTAACTTTTTATAAATTGTTTAGTTTTAATAGAAAAAAAGAGAGCCTTCTCAAATCCCCGATGCTGTGTTTTTAGATCATTGCATGTTTATTGTCCATGTTATGATGGCTACTATTATGGGGAATGCAATTTCGGGATGGCCGTGTATTTCACAAAAGTAGTAGCTAAATTTTCAACATATTTCAAAAATCGTTTTTACACTCTTTTGGTCTAATTTTTTTTATATCTTTCATAGAGCAAAAATATGTTTAATTACCTTTTTTCACATCATACCTCAATGATGTATAATTGTATAAGAGTAATGAAGTCCTTCACAATTTTCATCCACTATTGCTGTATATTATACATTATACCATAGATTTCATTTTTAATTATTCAATGAGCTATCGTTTTTGGATTCGAAAATAAATTTCTTTTCGAAATCAGTAGCATAATGACAATGTATTAAGGATTCATTTTTCAGTCCTCGGTAGATTCTGAATTCAGAAATCTATACATTTTTTTCATAGAAGTCTCTCAAATTTCGACCATGAAAGAATAAAATTACTAAATATTGATATAATTTCCATATTACAGATATATCATTCAAACCATTTTTCATGGATTCAATTGATTGCCGGTATTTTTCTGAGGATAGAGATATTATATGCGGTAATATTCACAATTTTAAGCCTTATCAATTCATAGACGGGAAAATGTTTGGTATCGCAAGTGTACTTGAAGAGCATGGTTACAAGCTCATATCAGAAATTGGTAGCGGCAAATTTTCACATTGCTATCTCTGCAAAAGCATCAAATACGAACTTGAATTTGTTGCAAAGGTAATTCCAGGCTGCAGTGATGACATACAAAATGTCTTAGAGATGGAAGTACAATCAAAACTCGCCCATTCTAACATTGTTAACATTTATGATAAGTTTATCGAATTTAATTATTGTGTACTCATCCTTGAATACTGCAATAATGGTAATCTTTCAAGCTTATTTAAACTTAGTAAGGAGTCAGATCCATTTGTAATTCAATGCATTGCTTGCCAAATTTTAGATGTTCTTGCTTTTGCTCATGACGAAGGTATGCAACATTTTGGTCTTAATCCAAACAACATTTTTGTCGATAAGTTCAACATAGTAAAGATCTCTGACTTTGGAATTGATCAGATTTTATCCCTAAATTCCACATCTTATCAACATAACAGACCCATTGAGTACTTAGCACCGGAGATTTTCACAAATATCCCTTACAATCAAGGAAAGATCAATTCTTATGAATACGATGCTAACAAGGCCGATATTTGGGCTTTTGGTGTGATTCTATACCAGCTTGTCAACGAAGGCAAGCTTCCATTCCCAGGACCTTCATTTATCTCTATGTACTCACAGATAATGAGAGGAGAAATTGAACTTCCAGAAGATATCCCACTCGAGATCAAGACGGTTATTATGCATTCCTTAGACTTAAATGTTCAGACAAGATGGTCTGCCAAGCAACTCAGGGATTATTTGAGCAGTTCTCCAAAATCATCTCCAAGTACTAAGACAGTCCGCTTCTCTAGATCAAACAGAAGATCTCTTCCAGGTAATGGGCTAGTTGCACCTCCATTCCACATTCAAGCTGTTTTAAGAAACAAGTACAGGAAGAATTCTGTTTGAATTGAAATATTGTTTAATATTTCCTATTTAGTATATTATATAAAGTGTTTTTTATTGTATATATTAACTGAATTGAATGTTTTTGCTTCTTCAATTACAAATATTGTTTTGAAAATTTAATCATCGAACTAAATTGTTGTAATTTCAAAGCATTTTATAGGATAACAGTATTTTTACAAAAATATGAGCTATACTTCCAGCCAATTTCGCTTATTTAGTAATGTTTATTTGTAAACATTTTGATAGTCAGTAAACCTTTGATTAATTTATAAAAAATAAACACAGAAATTTTACAATTTTAGTTAAATCTTGCATTTCCATTTTTAGAAATGTGTCCAATGATACTAACATCTTCATCGTCATCATGATATGATACGAACTCCTCTTCAACGCCAGAAGACAATGCTGTTCCGAAGAAATCTATACGATTGATGGCTAAACAAGGTGGATATCCTGGGCAGCGCTCATCTTGTATAAGACGAACATATTTTGCAACGTAATACTTTTCAAATTGGAATGTAGCTTCTTTGCAGTCTCTCATCTTCGCATCTTTAGCAATAGAATGAACTGTTGTCCAAGTTTGGTTATCATTCGAAATCTGAATTGACCAACTGTATAAACAGCAGTAAGCACATCCATAATATGTATCATCGCAGCAGCAACCTTCGTCGCAACAGCCAGCACGAATTAAATATCCATTAAATTTGAATTCGTGATTTTCTACATAAAACGTAATGAATGGGTGATCATCGTAATTTAGTGGGCAATTGGAACACCAGTCGTATAGCTTATCAAACGGATAAATTGCGTATTCTGGCTTTGTTAAACGCTTTGTGCCATTAACATATTGATAAGAGTTGCCACTGACACTAAAATTAACTATTTTTTTATCATATATTTTTGCGAATATCCCTTCTTCGCCAGAATAAACAAGAGAAATTAGAAAACTCAAAGTCATTGTCACTTTTAATTCCACTCGTAAGTATTATAAACTATCCCATGATCATGATGTGAAATCAATAGGAATCTTATTCCCAATTCAAATTGATAAAAATATTTTACCAAATGAGAAAATAATTTCCAAAATTATCGGATATCGATCCAAATATCCACAGACTCTATTTTGTTAAGAGCTGTTGTTTGATTAAAAAGCAGCGAAATTAATTCGATCATGTTTCAAAAAAATAAATATTTTATAAACAAACAAAAAAATAAACAATACAAATATCCGCTTAGAAGTCACCATTGAGGAATCTTTCATCTTCATCATAGTTCATTTGATCCATTGGTTCGAACGTTCCATCCTCATTATCCATTTCTAACTCTTGTTCAATGTTAACTATATCATCTGTATCATCAACTATGTGCATTTCAGTCATTGTATGTCCAGGATCCGAATCGAAGCTGACTGTCTCTTCAAAAGTAGAGCTTGTTGATGTTTCATCATGAGATTTTCTATATAATGTAATGCCAATCAAAGCTAAACAGAAAATGGATGCAATAACAATGGCTGATATAAGAATTACAGTTGATGATTTCATGGAGTTTGCGTGTGTATTATCTTCAACATATATGACGGTGATGTATGTAACATTTGTTATGATATAAATTGATGTTGGAACAACATAAAAAGTGACTTGAGAAACAAATGTTGTTCGTACGTATGATGAATTAATCAGTGTTTCGAAGTATGATGATGTATCTTCTTCAACTGTTGATGATGTCGTATTGGTAAGAGTGTACTCTGTGATGTTCGTTTCAATGAGGGTGGATGATGAACTCATTGTTAACGTGCTTGTCAAAACTGTTGTCAATGTTGTTGTTGTTGACATTGTTTCATTTGACTTAAGTGTTGGAGGTGGAGTTGATGGAAAAAGAGTAAAATGAGGTGTTGAAAATGCTGTATTAAATGGAGTAGAATGAGCTGTGGAAAATACTGTATCAAATGGAGTTATCCCAGGCGTCATATGAGCCGTACTAAATGGTGTTTCGAATACTGTAACAAATGGAGTTTCAAAAGCTGTTAAGAATGGAGTTTCAATGGCTGTTAGGAATGGAGTATCAAAAGCCGTTTCATAAGCTGTTAGGAATGGAGTTTCATAAGCTGTTATGAATGGAGTCTCAATAGCTGTTGAAGAAGGAGTGTCAACCGGTGTTTCAAAAGCTGTTTTGAATAGAGTGTCAAATGCTGTTTTGAATTCTGTTAGGAATGGAGTTTTAGAAGCTGTTGAAAATGGTGTTTCAGCAGCAGTTGTAGAAGCAGTAGAATAAGGAGTTTCAAAAGCAGTTGAAAAAGGAGTTTCAGCAGCAGTCGTAAAAATAGTAGAAAATGGTGTTTCAGAAGCAGTAGAAAATGGAGTTTCATGCGGTGTTGGGGAAATAGTATCTTTGTAAACTGTGGTTACCTTTTTCTCATAATTTGTGGTTGTTGAGAATCCTGTTTGCGGTGTTTGTTTCGGCAATCTTGTAATAGGAGTTGCAACATATGTATAAATAGTAGGGGAGGGAACACTACTTGTTTCTATATCCGGGCTGGTGGTTGGATTGCTAGTTTCTGCATAGCTATTTTTCTGGTAATTTTCAGTTAATGCTGGAGAATTGTCGCATTCTGTACCAGGAATATGTTGGATTGATCCTTTTCCAATAATGCGAGTTGAAATATCCCAGTCTTGTAAACAGTCATAAACTAAGTACCAAAAAATAGCATTTTCCTGATCATTAAATAGCATTACATCAACACCTATATTTTTCTCACTTGCACCAAAGTTTCCTCCATTAACCATCTTATTATTATAAAATTTGCAAATTTGACCGGGCACGATTTGGCACACGTATAAAAATTAAAGATCTGTACTATAAGACAGGTACAGCATGAAAGCACATGGTCTAAATAGTGGATACCATGAGTTTCAGCTTAATATAATATTTTGGTAAGATATATAAGATAATGTTTGGATAAAATTTTTGGAATTAAGCTTTAATATATATATGATCATATAGACCTATAGCTATACTATACATATATAATGTGTTTTTAGAAATATTGCATAGTTTTTATGTTGAGAGATTTTATATGTTTTTTTATGATAAGATTAGTTCATTTTCATTATAGGCACGTGTATATGCAGGGCAAGGTAGATGATTCTATGAATGTTTAAATGCGATATATGTAGTATTTAAAAAAGATTGAATTTTATTAAAATTGTTTGAACAAATAAACTGTAATAGTAATATGAGTGTAAGGTATATTTATGATTGATATACGTATTATGTTTGAATTTCTGTTTTTTGAGATTCGGCATAACTTATAAAACAAAAGTTTTATAAGATATGTATCGTAATGTAATTTATTGAGGGGGACTTTCGTATTTCAATAAAGAAAAGGTCTGCTTTCCATATCTTTTGAATGGAAGTTTCAAAAAGTTTTGAGACTCCCACTCAAAAGATAAGGAAAACAGACCTTTCCTTGAAGGTCTTTCGTAGAATGAACGATAAAGTATATTATCTTTTGTTTTTGAGTCTGGTCATATTTATGATTCGAAGGCCAGACTCAAAAACAAATGATAATATACTTTTGTGTGATCGTATTTGTAAATTTGCGATTTACATTGTTTAAAACTTGTTTTTTCAGGTAACGTCAAAATTCATCGACGTTACCTGAAAAAACAAGTTTTAAACAATGTAAATATCGAATGGCAGCCACATATTTATATGTGGCTGCCATTATTTTGAATTTTAGCGCATTTCTGAGGATGTTGAAATGTGGCCGCCTATCTAATAGAGATAAGCGGCCACTGTAATATAATTTTATGTTTAACGGCCCTATTTGAGTTTGTTCATAAACTCAAATAGGGCCGGGAGTGGGTTGATGATGAGATAGGAAGACCCACTCCATTTTACGTTTAAAAAAGTGACTTTTCGAAAATTTGGGAGTGCAAGTTTACGAAAAGAGCTTACAGGTGTATTCCTATCGTATATTTATTACACCTGTAAGCTCATATCATTACAAAACTATGAACTGTTAAATTTTATTCTCATATTCTTTCTAAAAATCTCAAAATAATAACCTTCTCTGCTTTACTCTTATAATTCATTGTTAATTATATATAAAGATTTTTTATATTCCATCTTTTTCATAGTAAAATTGTATTTTTTCAATCTATTTTCACAAATTTGATTTTTTTTTGAATATTTTTATTTAATTTTATGATAATTTATTCTATTATCATTATATAATCAAATTATTCATTTTTATTTTTTAATTTTTGAATACATACGATAATTTTTAATTCAATTTTTAAACGAATGTTTTGATGGGACGAGCTTACTGAGTATAGGCTCATCCCATCAAAACATTCCCTTAAAAACTCTGGCCTTCATCGAGGCCAGAGTTCACAATTCATCAGCTCAGAGCCAAGTTCCTCGACGGTCGTCCTCATTAGGCACGATCCGAGAGGAACTTGGCTCTGAATGAAATCCATAAGCTCTGGCCTCAGGAAATGCCAGAGCTTCGCAAACAATCCTCGGGGCCGGTTTCCTCAAAGACCGCCCTGATTCGGGGCGGCCGGAGAGGAATCCAGTCCCGAGAGAACGTCCATTCGAAGCTCTGGCCTTTCCCGAGGCCAGAGCTTGTAAATACAATTCGCAAGGCCGATTTTGAGGGAGATCGTCCACATCATCGACGATCTCCTCTCATCTCGGCCCTGCAAGAAAGAAATATACAGGCTCTGGCCCTAGCACAGGCCAGGGCTTCGCTTACATTCCCCAGGGCCGGTTTTCCCAAATGCCGCCCTTATACCGGGCGGCAGGAACGAAATCCGGCCCTGGGAAATAGGAAATACGAAGCTCTGACCTATGGTTAGGTCAGAGCCTGGAAAATACCCATTCTCAACTCTCCTAGATCTCATGCAAACCAGAAAGACAGGAAGGAAGCTCTTTCTCAAAGTAAGAACTTCCTTCTTGTCTTTCTGGTATTGAATGAAGTGGTTTTTGTAAATACTGTCATTCCTTTCACGAAGATCAGGAGATTCATGAAAAGTCACGGCAAGTGCATTCTGGCATCACAGATGCACTTGCCGTGACCTATAATTGCAAGTGTCTGCTGCTTCAGTCAAAGGAAGCAGCAGACACTCGCAATTCGAAACAGAGTTCGCCCGAAAGACCGGGAAGGGGGTCCTTTCTCAAGGTCAGGGCCCCCTTCTCGGCTTTTTGGTAATCTGGAGTGAAATATCATTTATATAATTTTTTTACTTATATTTGTCACTTTTATAAACGTAAAATGGAGTGGGTCTTCCTATCTCATCATCAACCCACTCCCGGCCCTATTTGAGTTTATGAACAAACTCAAATAGGGCCGTTAAACATAAAATTATATTACAGTGGCCGCCTATCTCTATTAGATAGGCGGCCACATTTCAACATCCTCAGAAATGCGCTAAAATTCAAAATAATGGCAGCCACATATAAATATGTGGCTGCCATTCGATATTTACATTGTTTAAAACTTGTTTTTTCAGGTAACGTCGATGAATTTTGACGTTACCTGAAAAAACAAGTTTTAAACAATGTAAATCGCAAATTTACAAATACGATCACACAAAAGTATATTATCATTTGTTTTTGAGTCTGGCCTTCGAATCATAAATATGACCAGACTCAAAAACAAAAGATAATATACTTTATCGTTCATTCTACGAAAGACCTTCAAGGAAAGGTCTGTTTTCCTTATCTTTTGAGTGGGAGTCTCAAAACTTTTTGAAACTTCCATTCAAAAGATATGGAAAGCAGACCTTTTCTTTATTGAAATACGAAAGTCCCCCTCAATAAATTACATTACGATACATATCTTATAAAACTTTTGTTTTATAAGTTATGCCGAATCTCAAAATACAGAAGTGCACATATAAAATATACGAACTTACGATATGCATGAGATGGATAAACCATACACATGCTTCTACTCTTTTGGTTTTGAAAATTAAATAAAATTTTTCTTATATACAAATTATTACGCCATTTTACTACTATCACTCATATATACACTAGTATATAAAGTGATCTATCATTATATCACTGAACTTTAGGTTTAATAATTTTAAATAAATTCTCAAAATCCTATCCTATTTCTATATTCTGCTTCAGCGCACATAGTATATAGTATACCAAATTCATATCCTTAATATTACATTCAAATTCCAAATTTGACCAAATTATATAATATAAAATATCTTACACTTTTGATATCTGACTAAAATAAGTATCAAATATTCATATATAGGAAACATACAATTGAATACTATAATTATTCCAAAAATTGTAAGAATATGAGATTATGCAATCTTATGCAACATCAAGTTGGATTCAATCTTGATATATGTTAATGCCTAGGGGTAGTACTGATATTTCACCATAGGCATTATAGGTCTATCTATAACAGAAAAAAAGTGCCAACTCGGGGCAGTGGAAATGATTTTCCCGAGTTGGCGCTCCTCACCTTGCGCTCTTATTATAGATCAATATAGGTCTCACATAACATCTCCTGTTGTTGCTAAAGCTTCCAAACTCAATATAGAGCTCATCTACGTTCCAAAGTCTGGTACTGACAAATACCAGCCTCTTGATAGGCGTGTATTCGGAGCTGTGAAGGCAAAGTATGCAATGAAAGTTGCTGATCGCATCTTTGAGAATTCGACTCCTATCTCCAAACCAGAAGCTGCTTCCTGCTTTATCCGAGCATGGAACACAGTCAGTTTAGCCACATTGATAACTGCTTGGCGCATTCCAGGTTCAAACCTAGACAATTTCGATCAAGAAACTCTAGGAGCGCAAGCAGATGAAAGCGATGATGAAAATTCCTCTAGTGATGGTGAATTTGAGGAGGATGACGAGCCTTATTCCGATAATGAAGATGATGACGATTACCATCAATAAACAAATAATTATGCTTTGTTTAACGATTTTTTGATTTCGAGATTTGATCATTTTTTTAAAAAATCAAATTAGCAAAGCAACATATAAAATAATTAATAGCCTACTATTAAGCATTTTATATCTTCAATGATTGGCTATGCATAAAAAATCTCATAATATGAAAAACAAAAGTGAGTTATAATACGGTGTAAACAAGGTTATTTGCTTATAAAATGGATCTACATCAATTTTGTACTATGATTTATGTTAAATGATGTTTAAATACCAAATTTTTGATTTGATTTCAAGAAAACAAACTGGTATTTGGACGTTGCAATAATAAAAGAAACTTATTTGTGTATCTAGTTTGGATTCTTTATACTAAAACAATCTGGTATGCATTAGTAAGTTCTGCATGATCAAAAATTTGCTCAATAAAGAATAATACGGTTTCTATATTAGTGTAATAACTGCATGTACAATGAAGTTACATTTTCCTGAAAAGAAAGATTCTTTTGCCCTTGAAATATCCAAATTTTGTATTTAATGAGATAAAAATTCTTTAAATTTTAGTTATCATTTAATATCTTGCATTGCTAGGTTGTATTGGTAATAATGATTTGTTTGTATTTGTAAAATTCGCAATGAGAAAGCTGATAAATTGATTTCACTGTTCCATTAAAGTCATTTCAAGAGCCTTGTACCGATAAACTAGCCTTGTACTGCCATTTTATGGTGATGTAAAGTATTCAAAAAATTTGCAATGTAAACCATTACATGGCAGAAACTTTAAAATAAACAAAAACATGACACTTAGTACAGGGGCTTTTTGGCTGGTGAAGTCAGATAAAACGTGGCTCAAGTGCTCGTTTAAAATTAAAAATGGAATTTCTCACAGTCAAATTTCTTGGTAGACAACAAAAGTTTATCATCAATTGTCGCGCCGAAGGTATGACATATAGTCAAACTAAGCTTGCATGGGAGGAAGAATACCCAGATCTCGGAACTTTAACATCCAATCTCATTGCTACTGCACTTAAAAGAGCTGCATTAGGTCTATACTGGGAAAAAGGGAATCATGGCGGTGCAGATCCATACCTATGCGAGCGTGATCAGCTCACTTTAAAAGAAATTATCGAAGATTCTGCTTACAAAGGTGAAGCTCTAGAAGCAGCTGACATTATTGACGAGGCGTTCAAGTTGAAAGAGCTCAGAAGAGATTATGGTTACAGATTCCTTCTTGAGATTAATTGTCCTACTCTTGCAGAAGAAGTTATCAATACTCTTGGTGGTGATGATGTATCGAGACCTTATGTTAACCATATTTTACAGCAATTGCATTGCAAGCTTAAGGCATGCCAAGAGATTGAAGAATCAAGATACATGGCGTGTGAACCAAGAATTATCGAAGAATTCTACGATAAACATCGTGAAACAATCGAAAGTACTCCAGAGGAGTTGATTTTTAGTATCGATGAAACATTCATAAACAAATTTAAGAAGAAGAAAGTTGCATTACCTGAGGAGATAGAGCATATGATCGCCAAAGGAATTCCAAACTTTCCGCACATTACAGCTTTATGCGGATGCTCAATGACAGGCAAATCTGTCCCACCTCTCTTTGTTCTCCCATGTATTGCAGAACTACCTAGAGAACTGAAAGTATTCCAGCGCGAAAGACATTGTTGGTTTACTTCTACGCCAAAAGGCTGGGTGAACAGAAGTGTATTCTTATTGTATTGCATTTTCTTCATCGAGTGGCTTAACTTTGAACGCCAAAGAATGCCAGAAGATATACGTGACAAGCCTGCTCTCATTGTGTGTGATGGACACTCCAGCCGCGAGAATCCTCTGGCATTGTTCCTTTTGGCAAGTGCCAACATCAAATTAATTGTTCTTCCCGCACATACAACACACATTTTACAAGTATTTGATGTTGGCATTGCCAAAAGATTAAAGTCCAAATTCACGGATTATCTGAGAGATTACATTAAGGCACCGAAGCAAGAGTTCAACAGCAATGCTGCAATGATGCGCTACGCCATTATCTACTCATTTATTAGCGCATGGCAAGAATCAGTATCATTAAGAACGGTTCAAAATGCTGCTGCCGCCTGCGGTCTTTGCCCTTGTTCTGTAGAAGCTCTCAAACATAATAAGTATGTTCGTGAATTGACTCCTGCAGAAAAAGAATTGCAAGAGAAAAGAAATTACCGTAATCGAAATCGTTTTAACATCAATGGTGAAGAATTGACGACGATGGACATGATTTGCGCAATTTCTGACAATATTAAGAAGAATTCTGCAAATCACAGATTTTGCAGGAAGCCAGAACAAGACACCAAGGAACGTTTCTACTTTTGGATTACAAACTATCTTGATCCCAGCACTGAGTTGTTGACAAAACTCCCTAATATGCCAGGTTATAGTCCAAATGATTAGGAAAATTTTCCAATTCTCCACCAAAAATTTTTTAATAAAATATTATTTTACGGCATTGCCCGTTACTTTTTTTCGGTACAAGGCTAATATCACGGTATAACCCCCCTGAAAAGACTTTAAAAAAAAGATAATCGTTTTTCTCAGAATTTTTACACAAATAAAAATAAATAATATATATTATTTTAACTAGATGCATTGATTTACTTGCATTTTTTCATAAAATAAAGCATATTTTATAAAAAAATTTTTCAATCTGTAAACTGTTCACAAAACCATTTTGCATGGTATAAAAAGGAGTCTAAGAAAAAAGTATAAAAATTAATGAAGAATATAAGTAATGTTTACAAGTAGTCAGCAAATATGGATAAAAAAATTTCAAGCTAAGTCGGATAATTTCAATGTTTCGTAATTATGTAATAATTACAATGCCTATAACATTGGTCTAAATCAAATCCAATTAAAAACCATAGATTTTGTAAAAAATGAGATTTAATGCAAATATTTTCGCCGTTATTCAAAGATTAAGAGTTGTGGTTTGGTGCCGAGGTTTATTTATGCTTGAAGTTTATTGTTGTTATAACATTTTTAGATGAAAGTTCTTTTTTGCGTAGATGCGATTTGAATTTTTTGAAAACTTTGAGTTTTTTCGCGCCTATAATGAGCACTTTCAACAAAAATTGTTTGGAATTGCATACAAATGAGTTTGGCCTTAAAATTGTCGATAGTGTCTGCATAACCATGGATATGCTCGATCAAATGAGGAGCAAAAAGGTCCAAAAAAGGGGCTTTTTGCAAGATTTTCACTCTCGAGCCTTTATATTTTAATATACCGGCACTGTATTTTATCAAAGATTTAAGTGCCTTTATAGAAGCATATACTGTTCTACCATAAAAAAATATAATAATCGTTTATCTCAGAAATTTTATGGGGGGTGGTAAAAGAAAAGCAAATCTGGGTAAATTACAAAAATTCAATTTACTTTACTAATTTGAAAGGTTGATCGATAGATTCTTGAAACATTGATAAAATCCCTGTGATGTATTAGATGTATAAATTTTTTGTATTAATCTAAAAAAAGATATTGAAAAATCATATGAATGCATAGCATTAATAATGAAACAAATATATGATTAAATAACTAAATCACAATAAAATTCAATGCCTAACAAATAAAATATTCTCTGAAAAATATAACTTATCATTTGATCTTATTATCTAATGTATATAAATTACTATTGAAATCATGATATAAAATAATAGTTGATAATATCTTAATATTTTGATAGGAAAATATTAAGCAATCAAGAATAAATAAGATTTTCTTTGGAAGAAATTATAAATAATTCTCTTTTTGAGAAAGAAGAAATTCGATACTCACAATTTTTCAATATTTTCACAATTTTATCTTCTAACACAAAAATAAAATGGTTTTCATTATTGTCAATGGATATGAAAAGAAGTAAATATTGAATACACTGTAATCTGTTGCACATACTTTTATTAAAATTATGGTTGAATTCTGGTTTTCCATGAATGATTTTTTATCAAACTTCGAGATTTTCGAGCCAAAAGTTCATATCACGATTCCTTGTTATTTGTTCGATTAATATGTCTTCTATATGATCATAACGGAAGTGGTTTGAAAAATAAAAGTGACATTTCAAAGGCAGTAAGATGAATGACATCAAAGATCAAAGAGAAAGAACTATTTAAATTCTCGAACGGACATTATGTCTGCATATTTATTATAGATATTGGTTCTAACAAGCTATGTTCATAAAAATTATAATATATTCATGTTCATTTTCTCCAAATTCACAGTATACAAGGTCTGATTGTTACATATTTTGATCTTTGTATAGCAAACATCGATTTGTCTGAAAACGGATCCTTGTTATTTTATAACTATTCAATTCATTATGAACTAACATGGATGAGCATTAAATGTATCAATTTAGAGATTTATATTGTTAATTAATTATAACATCTTATTGAATTGAATTTTAGACTTTTTATATCAAGTCTTTTATTTTCTTTAACATGATTATATCTTTTTGGTATTATCTGAATATATTTCTTCATAGCTTTCTGTTTTTGACTATAATTTTGACTATAATTTTTTATAAGAAAGTAATATGATTCATTAAAAATGTCCCAATATGTATTAAGATTCTTATTTAGTTGATTTAATGATTTGAAACATATTGAATGAAACTTCCAAATCTGTTTTTTAAATAATTACCCTTATTTAACCTTAATAGACAAGTTTCTTTCATACTATAATTCTCTTATAGGATATCATTTCATTTTCTTGTTAAAGATTATTATAAAATTATGTATTTTTCATTAATTTCTTGATGACTCATTTTTGCATCATATTTCCTAAAATTGCCATATCATATAAATTTCTTATTATGATGTTTTTGTTTGTAATTCCTCTCTTTATGATTTCAAAGGATTTTGAATTAAAATAATGAGCTTGATGTTTGTTAATACTTTTGATTAATGCACTAAGAGTAGCAATTTACTATGATTTCATTTTACATCAGATTATTCAATCGTCTTTCAATTAAAATAATTGGGAGTAAAAACCTAATAAATGAATTAAGCACTGATTAAAGTAAGATTTGGTTCCAATGGTCGTAAATTAACATCATTCAAAGTTTGATTTCAAACTGCGTCATATTAAATTTTTGAAAGAAAGAAGAATATTTTTGAAAGAAAGTTATTGTATTATATTTCATGTTAGCTATCCTGACTCATCTTTCAGCATCCTATGAACGATATGGTGTTGCTATTAATGAACTTCTTGATAGCGCTGTAACAGAAAACTTCAATTTTTATGAATGCCAGTTTACTGGAATAGGAACATTAACAACTCCATCTACAATCAATCTTTATAGAGGATCAGCCAACTGCGGAGTCAATATGGTTGCCTGTGTGTTTTCATTCTGCCAAGCAAAAGATGGCGGTGCATTTAGCCTATGGGATTACATGGACTGCAATGTCAAACTTATTTGCGCATATGGTTGTAAAGCAGCTAATAGTGGTGGATGCTGTGTAATAAAATTAGCATCATCATTCAACGCTTCTCATATCTCAGCTGTTAGTTGCGAAAGTGCCTGCAAAAATTTCTTCTTTTCAGGTGTCCATTTGTCTCAAACCTGAACATATCATCTTGCAAAGCTACAAGAAGATTAATAAGTGACTGGAGCTACGGAAATCTCTACATTAACAACAATCAAGCGTCAGCATTTTCATATTCAACAATGAAAGACAATACTACCCCATGTTCAACAATCTACAATGATTATCTTTCAGCTGAAAACAATCTTCATCACTTCAATGTCATATCAAATTCGATTACCGACTATGGATTAATTTACAATTACTATGGAGGAACCTATGGTATTGTAAAAATCACAGATACAGTCATAAGAGGCAATTACCTTAACTCCAAGTCTGTTTTTGAGGGAGTTGGAGGCCCAATTCTTGTTGCCGGAAATGTATTTGTAGATACAATAGCCACCCATGGATCAGTAACTCTTAATGGATATTTTATTGCTAATGATGCTCAGGAAACTACGTATATGTTCTATGAATCTGGATTATGCGATGCAATTATTCCATATCCTATGAGAACGACGCCTCCAATGACTCCAAATGAAACTCCAATACAAACTCCACAAGAAACTCAGAAGCAAGACCCTGTCCAAGATCCAACGGAAGAATCAACTACAAATTCAAAAATAATTTCATCTGGTGAAAGCAACCAAAACTCATCACAAGGTTCGAAGTTAATTCTTGGATTCTTGACTCAAAAGCAATTTTATATTTGCATCGGAATAATTTGTGGACTAGTTCTAATAATTTTAGTTCTTATCTTTGTAATTCATAGACTAAGGAACAAATCTGAAACAAATTCCATATCAGAATACTCTTATAGCATGCCAGAAGAGCAAGCTCAGCCCACAGAGCCATTTAATTCAACAAATAGCAACACACATGAAAATCCACTGTTCATTAAATCGGAGCAACCAGATGATGTGTTTGCAAATGATTTTGAAGATGTTAGTTTCAATGATTTCAATTCAGATTCGACGAAAGCATCTGATATTGAAGATTCTGCGCCAGAAATAACTAAAAAACCTAGTAATGATCAAGATGCTACCGATGAAGCCCCAAATAAAGTTTATATTTAGTTGTGATCAAAATGTTTGAAATAAAAGTTAATTTTAGTTTTTAATTGAGTTTACTTGGTTCCCAATGGATATATTGGTTACTCATAAGAAATCATGATATTTGTTCTAATTTAACGGTTTTTTCATTTAAAAATGAGTCAAAAATAATTTGGATCATTTTGTATCATATTAAAGCTAGTATGTTAAGACTGAGAAAAACAGATTCGAAATTAGAGAAGGTTATATTATTGAGAAAATTTGTATTCCCTCACAAATTTCATTATATATTGGCCGTTATCGAGAAATGACTAAAAAGGCATCTCCTGATACCAAATTAAAGTTAGAAACAGTGTTTCATTATTACGCCAATTTGCATCATCGGTACTTAAAAATTTAAAAAATATTAACTTCATAGATATCAATTAATCAAGTACTTTAAGAAAATGAATTTCAAAAGAACAATTTAATATGACACGAGAACGAATAATTTGGCAGCTTATTTCAAAATGTTTGTTATCTTCTTCGTGAGCTTTGCTAAATCGAAAGAGTATAATGGAATAATAGAAAACAAAATTAATGAAGCATGTAATGGGAATTATATCTTCTATGAATGCATATTTAGAAATCTTGGTACTTATGATTCAAGCTCGGCACTTTATCTACATGATGGTCAAAACAGTCAAAGTGTTACTCTCTACCGTACTACATTTGATAGCTGTAAAGCTAATCAAGGAGGTGCGTTTAGCTTTACAGGTAATTATAATCTTCAAGTGATGTTTGTATGTATTTACAAAACAAGCACGAATGACAAAGCAGGTTTATGGTATGTTGAAATGAATACTCAACCACAATTTGAATATGTATCGTGCTTTGACTCAACAACTCTATGTCAAACAAGTTTATTTGGCTCAAAAAGTCCATCAATTAAAAATATGAATGTTTCTAAATGTAGCGCAACATTCTCCAAGACAATTTTTTACTGGAGTTACGGTGTCATGTATACAAATTGCAATTCCCCAATAAATATGAGCTTTACAAACTTCGAAGGATGCTACAGTCCTGATGGAATGATATATAACTATAAATCAAGTGGAGAATATTCGATACAGTACTGCACTTTTAGAAATAACAAAGTAACTGATTACTCGTTTATCTATTGTGAAGATTGCCGTGGTAATATGGAGATTTCGGATTCATATTTCTTTGGAAATGATTTGAATTCAAAAGGTTATTTTACAGGTCAAAAGTCAATAATTAATTTAGTTACAAATGTTTTTGTAGATTCAAAAACGCACAAATGGTCGGTAACAACGAAGGGAATGATCTATACCAAATCATTTGAAATGCCCAATTATCAATTTTTCCAGAGTGACAATTGTTATGCCCAGAATTTCTTCCCTTTGAATCCAACTCCTTTTGAGACCGCATTTGAAACACCATTTATTACTCTTGCTCTAACACCATTGATCACTCCAAATGTTACTCCTCTATCAACTCCTTTTGGAACACCATTTATTACGTTAAATAAAACTCCTTTAAATACCCCATTCAATACGGCAGAGAATACTGCAGCAAGCACCCATGAAATGACTCCTTATGATACAATTTCATCAACTGCAAATGTTACACCATTTATTTCCCCTTATGTTACTCCTCTACAAACAATTGAAGAAACAGCTATTCAAACAGCTATGAATACACCTTATGATACTGCATTCCAGACTCCATTCAATACCGAAATAGAGACTAATAGTTTTACTCCTTTTGAAACAGTTATTACCACACCTGAAGAAACTATTAAAGATACACCAATTGAATCTCCTAAATTAACAGTTTTTGAAACTCCATTCGAAACCGTTATTTACACACCAGATGAGACAAATAAATTTACACCATTTGTCTCACCTGATCTAACAGCATTTGAAACTCCATTTGAAACTGCTGTGAAAACACAGATTGAAACTCCATTTGTTTCATCCAACATAACTCCATTTGATACGCCATTTTTATCACCACAAATAACTGTATTTGAAACTCCTTTTGATACAGTTGAATATTCACAAAATGAAACACCATTTTTGTCACCAGAAAAAACTGCCTTTGAAACTCCATGTGGATCAAATGTAATAACTCCATATGAAACTCCATTCACTTCTCCAGTAACTACAATATTTTAAACACCAATGGGCACAGCAGAATATACCAAAATAGAAACTCCTTTTGAAACTAATTTGAACACTCCAGAATTAACAGTTCATGAGACTCCTTTTGAAACTAATTTGAACACTCCAGAATTAACAGTTCATGAGACTCCTTTTGAAACTAATTTGAACACTCCAGAATTAACAGTACTTGAAACTCCTTTTGCAACCAAGTCCATAGAAACTACTAAAGAAATACCATATTTATCACCTGTCTATACTCCCCTAACAGCACCATCTCATGAATCTAATCTAATAGATACTAAGATAGAAATCACCAATACAGATTCATCTGAACCTTCATCTCCTATAATATCCGAAAAATCAAATAGGACATATGTAGAAAATGGAGAAAATGCCAAGTCAACAAAAGGAAAATCTAGTATTTTGATAATTGTTATTGTTTCTCTTATTCTTGCATTGATCATTATCACTGCAATTATTCTCTATGTTATTTGCAGGAAGAAAGAAGAAACAGCCGAAACAGAATCATCAATGACGGATGAGATGGAAGAAACAGTAATAAGCACTCAAGTTAACACAAATGAAGAATTTGCTACCTATGATTGTTATATACGAAAACGATAAAAACGGCTTGACAGAAAAGTGATAACTTTACGTGTCAAAAATAGAAAAAGTGACATTTTATTCGTAATATTAAAATGAATCATCATAATCTTCTTCATAAGGGTCTTCATAATCTTCTTGATATTCTTCTTCATAATTTACTTCGTATTCTTCTTCTTCATTACTATCTTCTTCTATTTCAACCGGATTCGCCTTATTTTCTTCTTCTTCAACTTCCTCGCCTTCTTTTTCCCATTCATCTTCTTCGATTCCTTGGAGCTCTGGCATCTCATTGGCCATAAGTGAACCTGGAAGAAAATCTTGAGAGACTCCATCCACAATCCATTTTGCCGGCATTCCCCTCTTCCAAATTGGAAGTTTCTTCCCCATTTCAGATGGGCTATAGTGAATTTGTTTTCCATTCACATAATGAGTTGGTAATGCTAGATGAGGTTTAGCATTATAGTACTCAACCCATTGTTGAATCTTTGCCCATGACAACTCTCTGCTCTCTATGTTAGGCCACAAGCGCTCGATTTTCCCATTTTGGTATGGGCAATGGGGGACAATATATACATTATTGATCCCCCGAACCCTCATAGCCTTTAGGAACTCGCCTTTATTCTCGCCGCCATTATCGGACCAAATTGTATGTGGTGGTCCATAACGGGCTATTGCTCTCTTAATTACTTTCACTGTTTGGCTAGCATGTTTTGACGAAAGATGGTGCCATTCTATGATGAGCCTTGTGCAGTCATCAATCACAGCATAAAGAATCTGACTTCTCTTTTTGCCAAGAAAGTGGATATCAACGTGCCATATTTGGTTAGGAAAGGCAGCTAAGTATCTTGTCTTTCCTTTTGGCCGATAGGGTCCCCTTGGACGTGCCAAGCCTAGCTCTCTAAAAGCTCTTTCTACCATATGTCTTGAGGGGGGATGTGGAAGAGGGTTTGTAAGATATTTAATGTTCCTCAGCTCAGATGGAAATGATAATGGAGACTCTTCAATCATAAGTCCGGAAGGAATTGTGGAAGAAATTTGATTCAGGGGCTTAAAACGTTCAATAGCGGAGAACCATGCTTGGGTAGGCGTTGGCTGTGGAACAATACCCGTCTTCATGTCCAAAAATGCCTCAAAATGAGATTTGGCATATTCGATATCTTTATTTATTTGGTTATAGGCGGAGATTATTCCAAGATGGCCATGCTGCTCAATTAGGTTTCTAATAGTTACCTTAAGATCTTTTGGTACATTAACTTTGGGTCTCCCGCGCTTAAGGGGAATAGACACAGATGGGTGAGGCTGAGGCTGAGTATTGGCAGAGAGCTGTTGCTGTGGGGGAGTGTTGGCAGAGAGTTGTTGCTGTGCCGAGGTGTTGGCAGAGAGCTGGCGTTGTGTCTGGGTGTTGGCAGAGAGTTGTTGCTGTGGAAGAGAGTTGGCCGAGAGCTGGCGTTGTGTCTGGGTGTTGGCAGAGAGTTGTTGCTGTGGAAGAGAGTTGGCCGAGAGCTGGCGTTGTGTCTGGGTGTTGGCAGAGAGTTGTTGCTGTGGAAGAGAGTTGGCCGAGAGCTGGCGTTGTGTCTGGGTGTTGGCAGAGAGTTGTTGCTGTGGAAGAGAGTTGGCCGAGAGCTGGCGTTGTGTCTGGGTGTTGGCAGAGAGTTGTTGCTGTGGAAGAGAGTTGGCCGAGAGCTGGCGTTGTGTCTGGGTGTTGGCAGAGAGTTGTTGCTGTGGAAGAGAGTTGGCCGAGAGCTGGCGTTGTGGGGGAGTGCTGGCAGAGAGTTGTGGCTGTGGGGGAGTGTAGTTAGTACACCAGTCTTGGGTATGGTGGCACTGCGTTCCACCTTACCCAATACTTGTGAATTTGACACTTTACAAAACCACTAACGTACATTTTACAACACGAACGCAAAAACTAACTTAACCTTAAATATTTACAAAGCCGCCAACCACTTCACTTCGCTAACGAACTCATTAATGAAAAAATAAACGTTCTCATAAATTTTCTTCTATATCTTCATCGTCAGTGTTAACTCTATTGTAGTCATACTTGAAGTCATAAAGTTTCTCAAGTTTTGAAATGCATAGTCTTGTTAACTTACCTTCATCATCATAAGTTTTTATAAAACTACCATGACAATCTTTATACACAGTCAATGTATAGTCAACTGGTCTAGGATGAAGTGTAAAGAACATGTTATGCTCAGGAAGGAAGAATAAATGTTTAAATGTATGTTTGTTATATTTTTCGATTTGTATGAGTTGCTTTTGTTCTGTCATTTACATCCAAATAAAAATTTTCAGTAAAATAAAAAATAAACTTAAAAATTAATGATATCACCACCCTCACACGTATGAAAACATAGCACAAAAATAAATTTAGGTGAAGTGGTGAGATCTCACCTCTTTTTTCACCTGTTTTTTCACCCTGTTGAATTCATTGCTTTATAACTCTCTTCCTTTCTCCAACTCTTCTAGCTTCTTCTTAAGTTCAGCAATGTTGTCCTCATGAAGTTTAATCTTTCTCAAAATTCCTTCTTTATCTAATGGTTGCTTTATCTTTCTAAACTGAACTCTACCATCCTTCATAGTATGAATGTAAAAACCTTCTGGAATAGTCCTGATTTAATGTATTCTACCAAAAACTTTTGTTTCATTGCTTCAGTGACTTTAGTCGTCATTTCAATCAAATAAAAATTTTAATATTAAATAAAAATAACGTTATTTTTTCAGTAAGGAAACGCAGGAGTTTTACGATTTATTTGAGGAGTAGGTTCTGGTTTAAATGTTGGAGTCGGTTTAGGAGTTGACTTTTGAACAGAGTTTGTACTTCCATAGGTTCAGGAGTCATTGAAGGTTTTGCTTGTGAAGGCGTTGGTTTTGGCGAAGGTGTTGGAGTTTGTTTAACTTCAGCTACTTCAGTATTATTTACAACATTTGCTTTATTTCTTTTCAACATCATAACTGCTCCTGCTGTAGCTAGCAAACCTAGTGGGAGACCATATTTTATATAAGGACTTGACCAAATGCTATTTTTGACAGGAGCTGGTGGAACACCTAACCTTGGTGAGACTGCTCTTTGCCATTGTGCAGCTCGTAAGAAATATTCAATAGGTGCTCCATAATCGTTTGGTAAAGTTTGTTTCATAGATGGTGAAGGTTCACGAGAGCTTGATGAAGAACTCATTTATAAGCTTTAAAAATAAACGTTCATCCTTTATTCCTCACTGTCGTCCGTAGCTAAGTTATAGTCATCTAATCTTATTATGGGGATGCCATGCACGCACCTGAATGGCAAAGCAACAATCCCTCATAAATCCAATAAGTGGCTTTGGTACATTTTCAGTTGCTAGTTCAATAGGTCCTTTAACAGACAATTTGTATGTTATTGGAGCAGTAGATGTTTGACCTTGCTGGAAGCAAAAGTCCACTTCTGTTGGAAAACCACATAAGAAATGTGTGTTGTCATAGCTATCCCATTTATGTTCCACACTACCATCATCCACCAATGACCTCATAACATCTTCATTAAATCCTATCATATCATTGTTTGTATTGCAGGCGTTCGCAACCATTTCATAAAATACAGGTCCATATGATTTTTCAGGTTCTGCAGGCATATTTCCATAAGCTCCCATGGAAAGCTGAAGATATTTAAACTTAGGGTTCTCAAAATTAACATAATAGTTGTCTTTCTTTCTAAATAGTGCCCAAATACTTTTAACATTAATAGGCGTATAAGCTGCTGTAAATGTTGCACTTGAACTATCTGTATTCTTTGAGAATGAACCGTCCATAGGAATCCAATCCATAACTTTAACAGGAAAACATAAAGCCTCGTTTGTATAATGTTCTACAAGTTCTGTATAAATGTTAGGGTCTAAAGAGAATGACTTTGGATGAATGAAACATTCATTAAAATCCATCTTTGTTCGAAATAGTTGCTGGGTTACAGTTGTAATAGTAACTGTTCCACTAGCTTCTACTGCCTTCGTTATCATAGTGAATGGTTCATTCCATGGAACAAATTTATTTGTCGGTGGATTTGAATCTGAAGCAAATGCAACTTTAAGAGTTGGATTGAAAGCAATGATATCATTTACAGATATAGATGTGCATTGTAAGGCGTCGCTACTGAACTTTACTTTAAGCTGAATGTTTCCTGCAAAAGCTGGAATAAATCGAATAGCTTCTAATGGAAGGAATCTTCTAACAGGAATTCTTAAACGAAGCTTAAAATCAAATGATTTTCCTGCTGTAATTGGACCACTAACAATTTGTCCTGTTCTGCATGTTCCCGAATGACTCCATACATCTTCATGTCGAGTCTTTGAGAAAACATCTACTTTCTTTATTTGTTCGGTAGTTTGTGAGTTTGAAGTTATATATGCTTCTTCTCTTGCGTTGTCTTGAGAATATACGATACGACCATTTGCAAGGATTTGATATCCAGCAACTGCATAGAAAGCGTCATCGAAACCAATCCAAAATCCTGGTGGGTTTGTTTTATTGGAACCTGAACCAATTTCTTTATCTACAATAAATTGACCTTCCATTTTATACGTAATGAATGTATTGTAAAGGTCCAACATATTTTCACCAGGAGGTGAGAGATTGAATGTTACCCATGTGTTATCTTTAGCAGTTCCAGGTTGTGATGGAATCTTTGCGTCAGAATATTTTCTATTAGTGTCACCAATTTGAACTGCATTGTCTATGATATCGAAATATGAGCGAATCTGATGAATATGCTCTGCTGGAGTAAATTCGTTTAACTGTTCGTTCTGCATGTATTTACTTCAGATAAAAATATCTATTTACTTCATTATTCTCACTCTTCTTCTTGGCATTCGTGGTGGAAGTTGTTTCTTGACATTTTCAATGAACTGTACATTCTCTTTTGTCTCAACTTCTTTCACTGGCGGGTCAGGATTCTTTGACTCGGTTTGTTTTTCAATGAAATTCACGAACTTTGCAATAAGCTCTTGGTTCGTTATTGAAAGTACATCTGGCTTCTTTTCTTCTGGTTCTATTGACTTTTCAGTTTGAATAGAAGGCTTAACATGGGCTTCGTGGACTTCACCCTTGCCATACACCTTAATGTTGTCGCTTTCTGCATTCGCTAATGGAACCTTTCTTTTTCTTACGTATATTTTACCATCTTTACTCTGACTTACGTAATAGAAAGGATGTTGTATTCCTCTTGCGTCATTTAATATAATAGACTCTCGCTCTGATTTTGACAAGCTCATTTTACATCGGTTAAAGTTTTAATTTTGTTTTTTATCTGCAGTCAAATGACTCAGACAAGCCCTACGGACAAGACCCAAGGGGTCATAGATGTTGAAGCATTGAAGAAAGAAATTCGTGAGCAAATTTTATCCGAACTGAAGGAACAAAAACAAGAACAAAAGCCAGAGAGACCAAAGAGAAAACTTAGTGAAAAACAACTTGCTGCATTAGCTGCTGGAAGACAAAAGAACCCAAGACTACTGGCGAAGAAAGCTAGAGAAGAAGCTGAAGCAAAAGCTAAAGAAGCTGAAGCAAAGAAAGAGTAAATGGTTTATTTTTATCCGAATTAAATGTATAGACAAATACCTTTATCTGTTGCGTTCAGTAGTGAAAACCCTGACGTCAAAATAAAGGGGAACAGAGTAACGTTTAAGTTTCCAACAGACTGGATTGTGAACATAAATGAAGAGAAGTACATTGGCATAACATCTATGTATATAACACGTGCTTTCAGAAAGGTTGACTTTATACTTCAAGTCGAGATAGAAAATGACGAACAGTCTTTAAGCGCCCAAAACATTCACATATACAAATACTTTAAAGACGATACAACATTGCAACAATGTATGATTTCATTTAATGAGATGTTCGAGAAAAAGTTCAACATTGAAGTACAAACTTTACAGCCTTTACGTGAGTTTCTTGCACAACTGAAAGAAGAAGGTAGTCAGCCACAACTTATAGACTTTCATTATGAATTTAATGAAAATGAAGATGGAACACATGACTGTCATTTTGTATTCTCACCATTCAATGAAGTCGCTAAAAGAAAGAAAATCCATTACGTATAAGATTTCAAATCTCTGAACCAAGTGATGATTTCAAGAATGTTTTCAATTATGATGCAATGCTTCCGAGGAAAAATGAATTTTCAAAGATTGTAACACCTGGCATTTGGGATAGAAAGCAAGCTATATTATATTCAAACTTAAGTAAGGGAGTTGAAAATGAGTTCATTGGTCATACAAGAACTTCACCACTTCCTAACCCTAAATACTATAAATTAACTGGCTTCAATCGTGAGTTTTGGATAGACATGTTCTCCACTCATGACCATAACTGCCCAGTGTTCTTACCTCCAGACCATAAGGACTGTCTCTACATTGAAGCACAACTCTTAAACTCTACCATCGCAGTATTGTAAAATCTACGCTAGTTTTATTTTTTCTGAAAATTTTTATTTGAGTGAAAGGCATGGAAGGTGAAGGACATTGGCAAACACTCGAACATGACAATGACTATGAAATCTTTTCAGAGTACCCATATCCAATTAGGCGCATAAGTAACAAAAGAGTTGTAAGTGAGTTTGACAACGGTGATGGTTATATTTGTGTTTATTTAAACAAACATAAACTCTTTAAGCATAAAATTGTTGCAAATCAATTTATACCGAATCCTGAAGGACTTCGAGAAGTAGACCATATAAACAGAGACAGAGGAGACTTTCATATCTCAAACTTAAGGTGGGGGTCGAGAAGACAAAACATGAGAAAATATTTCTGGTTCGAATGGCTATTGGTTGACATTGTAGACACTCTTCCTGAAGATGCTGTTGAAATTATACAATACTCTAAATTTACTCTAGAAAATTACTACTATGTCCCAAGTGAAGATGTCTTTTACTATTTCATGGGAACTCAATACAGACGAATGAATGTCTTAAGACAGTATAGCAAAGATTATAAAAATTACAGAGTAGTAAGAAGAAAGAACAAAGCTGTCTATTGCAAAGTTAAGAGAGACAATGGTTATACATAAATGACAAAAATATATGACCTCATGGGCTTCGCCCTTCCGCTAGCGGCTTATTTTTATCACGAATGACCTCATTCATGACTCATTGCTGACAAAATAAATGACCTCAGAACTTCAACTTACGAATAAAGCTTGTTTTAGTCGTTATTGAGAAGTTAAACTTCTCTTCAAAGCAAGGTTGAATGACTTACATAAGTCAAATCCAATCTTCTTGACCATCATGAAGTGCTTTGTAAAGTTTCATTAAACTGAACTCAGAGTTTTGTCATATGTTCCAACAGGTATGTGAATGTTCTTATCTTCATTGTAATAGCATTGTATAGCTTCAGGAAACATTTCATTAGCTGTTAAAGCAAGAACGTCTTGTTTTACACCTTTACAACGTGCATGAAATGCAACTTCATTTAAATCATTCGTGAGTAAGTCTATGTAAGTCTTCTTTCCACAAAATATTGACTTGTATGCTAAACTTTGTTTTCCAGGTGTTATTTCTGCGAAGTCAGAATGGAACTGACCAAGGTTCTTTCCTATAAGTTCGCGACCGTATCTCTTCTTAAACTCTGCTGCAAGCTTTGGTATGTCTTCATTGAAAATATGCATGCTATCGCAGTCCTGGTAAAATATTTGAAGACCCATATCTTCAGCAGTAAGAATACTTCACACATTATTCTCTTCGACATAGACAGAATGTTAACACCAAGTGGACAGAAGTTAAAGTGTCTGCAAATGCTTTTCGTTAGCTTGAAAATAGTTTTATCTGAACCATCCAAACCTTCGAACTTCACTATATGGTTGTAGTTTCTGATGGCATATCTTATAGCATCTTTGTCATTTACTATGGTTATTTTTGACTCAATAGGAGATAGAATAGTTTTGCCATAAATACTGTTCAGAATGAGCTTTATATTTTCTTGCAAAGGATTTCCTTCTTTCTTATACTTTAACCTTAACTCAAACAACTTCTTTACTTCATCTCTTATTCTAATATCTCTGTTTCCATCGTAATAGTATCCTTGCAACACTTCACATTTGACACCTTGATATTTTATGAGGTCTTGTAATGTTATATGGTCAACATACATTAAACAGCAAGTGTTTGAACTTCTGGGAACGTTAAGTTCTGGATTTAGTTCAGGGTCACAAACTATTAAAGGAAAGTGTCTATGTATTCCAATCTCTGTTATCTTAATGAGAACAAAGAAGCCAGACATAAACTTTTCACCAATGGGTTCCTTTTGGTCGTCATCGAATAAATGTCTCATGAGATACTCTGTGCTTAACATTTCTTTCTTCATAACCTTTGGAATACCTTCTAAAGTATAAAGTCTTGCTATAGCTGATGGATATAATGAAACAGCGTCGAAGTCAGCAATGAGTTTCTTTTCGCTCTTTTGTTTCATGTTATCTGACAGCATACATCTTCCACCTTGAATACAGCGTGAAATAAATTCTCTTGGTTTATTTGAGAGGTCATATAAATTTCCATTCGGGAAGTACACTCTGTTCTCAAATAATTTGTTAGCAATTGAACAAATACTAACGTAGTCATAAACGTTTAAATCAAATTCTTTCAATATGTCATTGCGGAACTTAACAAAACCTTCTCTTAAAATTCTTACATCTTGTTTGCAATAAAATGTGCTATACTTTTCTAAGTCAAAGTGGTTCTCATCTATTCTGCAACCTTTGATGGAATCTATGTTTTTCATGAATGTATCTGCATCCCGGATAAACTTACATGCTTCAGAAATGACACCAGTTCTGTTGTCATTTGCTAACAAAACACTGCTGTAGTAGTTGTATGGAAATACTTCTTTCGGTCCTGTTTGTAAGTTAAACATAGCAGGAAATAGTTTAAGCTTCTTATTTATAACACTGTAAGAGTCTTTTATAATAATTGCCCTTCCTTTATATAAGCCAGTTATTTGCATTGTTCGTGAACCTTTAATGATGGGAGTTCCTTTCACTTCTGTCATGTGTCTTAAGATGAAGATTATATCATAACTGAGGTTATGGAAATATATTAAACTCTTGTCAGGAAGTCGCTCCAAAAATTCTGTTGCACAGTTCTGACCCCAAATGCTTTCACTCACTGAACCATCTTCACTGTCGTAACATATGTTAAAAGCTTTATGAAAGCCATCGGTACTGCACTCAAAGTCAGCAAAGAAAACGTGCTCAGGAATGAACTTACATTTAGCTTTATTTACTTCTTTTGACTCGGCTTTCTTCTTCAGTTGTACACAATACTTTGGAGCATATGTCAAATCTTTAAATGGTGCAAGGTTCTGTTTATATAAGTCATAGTATATGTGAAAAGTTTCTCCAAAGAAATAGGTTCGAAATATTTGCACTCCCACAATGTTTTCATAACATCCCATAACGGTGTTGTTCTATCATAACGAACTACATATTTATCTTCTCTCTTTGTATAAATCTTCATTTGTTTCTCAATGTTCATTCCACCACACTCCTTCAAGATTTCTATATAGTTGCGAATGAAATATGTTGTCATTGGTAATCTTTCGTTTAGCATGTAGTGGTCTTCAACAAGAAGTAAGTCAATAGTTCTAACAGTTTCACATTCTTTTGGTATATATCTCTTTATTTCATTATGTCTTGAGTCATTGAAATAACCAATGGTAACATTAAATGCTATACCTGTTGCGTCAGAAATTTCTTGTACTTTACTTTGAGGAAAGTCTCTAACACGAATGACTTCTCTCATGTGGTCAATAGTCTCTCCATCTACTCCAGCCTGAATGCAAGCATAAACGAAACAATTGTCTTCTGTCATAAGTGCTGCAGTTCTTTTGTTCAATTCATTGAAGATTTGGTAGCGTTCAAGATTTATAGGTAATGTGCAAAGATACTTCCAGAACTGACCGCTTCTCTTCTTATAAAACTTCTTTTCACCATTATCTTTCCAAAAGCTTTCTATAAGTGCTGGGTTTCCTGTTTGCTTAAGAGCTTCCAAAATGGCTTTCTGGTCATTTGTCAGTGTGCTTTCATCTCTATATGGTCTCTTTTTTGGTTTGCCTTTCTTTACATCTGACATCGTTAAGCCTTCATATTCTGTTAAATCATACATCTTTATTTCAGTAAGATTCTTTATGTTTGTCAAGAAGAAGTCATAGTGCATTTCAACAATACCTGCAGCATTTGCTTCTATCTCTGATATAAAGTTCTCCTTCAAGAGCTGATGTAGTAATGTTCCAATATTATTGAGGTTTAACGTAGAACATTCATACTTTCCACCAAGTTTATAACATACCATCCATCTTTGTTGTGAGTTTATTTTAATTTTCTCTAAGAGTCTCATGAAAACCTTACCGAAATGTTTGTGTAAGTAGTCTCTGTTTGGTTCATCTAAAGCTTCGATGTTAAAGTCAATGAGTCTATTGCCTGACTTCACATTCCTCTTCCTATTCTCTTCATCTTTCTTTAACCATCTCTCACCTTCTTTTGGTTTGTCGTCAATGGAACGAATGACATCGTTAGCTTTGCGAACTTGTTCTATAGCGCTCTTAAACATCTCTCTTCTCTGTTGTTTCAGTGTGTCGTCTCTTCTTCTTGTTTCACCAACGTTTGCATTTGTTATGTCAAACATTTCTCTTCTTACTTCATGAGGTACTGAACGTCTATGATATAAGTCAATAGCAACGTCATTTAAAGGAAATGCTCTTGCATGGACTTCGTCCTCGCCGCGTTGCGGCTTTATGAACTCATGAATTCTATCATAACTTATTGCACCATTATAATCTTTAATGAAGTCAGCGAGTGCTTTTTTGTTTGTTGCGTAATGTTTTGCAACATCTATGTTAGCTTCTGTAAGAAGTTGTTTTATTTCCGAGTGTTCTAACTTAGACAACTTCCGATACATCTTTAGTAGGAAATAAAAAAAATATTTTTGAAAAAATTAGATTAGATTTTTAAAGTTATTTTTCAAAATAATTTAATATTTTTATTTTAATGAAACACATGCAAGATTGTAAGTTCTTTTCATACAATGCTCTCGCTACTGCCATCAAGAATGAGTTCAATAATGCTTCAAATGTTAATGTTATCTTTAACAAGAAGTTTGTGAAAGAATCTAAGTTTGGTCAGTATGTCAGACCATTAGCTATCGTCATTGACTGCAAACGTTATACTTCACAAGAGTTAGCAGTAGTTTTGAAACAAAAGAGTTTCTTCGTGAATGTCAAAGATACTCATTATACTGTTATAAAGAACTCTAATATTGACTTCTTCAGTATTGCTTTAAATCTTTCCGAACAGAAAGAATATAAGAAGGGTGAAACAAATGTGAAATATTATCCTTCATCTCTGAAGACAATAACGAACAAAGATGTTATACAGAAGCTCCTACCAAAGGTTGAAGAAGCTTCTATTGACATTGACGAAGGAAGTGAAATGGTTGAAGAAATAGACCCTGACGTCATTTAAGCAAAAATATATTTTTGGGTCATTTACACTCATTACGAAGAAGTTGACAAAACATATACGAAGAAGTTGACAAAACATTTACGTTTAGTTTACGAAGAAGTTTTGACAAAACATATACGATGAAATACTTGTAAATGAAGCTTTATAACGTATGATTGGAATTTATTTTTGCTTCATGACACGAAGTGAAGATCTTCACTTCGTCAAAATGTCATGTTGTCAGTAATTTTAAGAGAAGTTAAATAACCTGGTAGCACATGGTAACATGGTAACATTGAAAACATTTATGACAAAAATAAATGGTACCATTAATGTTGTCGTTAATTCATTCTTCCTCTTTGAAGTTGTCGAAATATTCTGTTATTTTTTCCTTCAGTAATGTTAAGTCTTCTTTGAATGTAAGTATTGTGCAACCTTTGATGTCATAGTGTGTTTGAGGAAGAGTATTTTTGACAATTTCCTTTATTTGTTCATTCGGTGTCATTGAAATCGGTAAGTTTTCACGATAGAACCAGTTTCTGTCAGATTTATATATTTTAGCTAAGTCATAAAAGCTCTTGTTGTTTCTTCTGACTAAATGCAACATAACCATATCTTTATCTTCTTCTTTCTCCAACTCTTCAGTATATATCATATACCTATAACTCTTTTCCTTTCCTTTTGGTACTGAACGCGGTATTCTTTTCTGTATGCTTTTGTCTTTGGATTCAATGACTTCATCTTTTGCTTGAAGTTTCTTTTCCATCTCTCCACGTTCTGCTTTATATAGTTCATCTAACATCATGAAAATATAACAAGCATAACGAGATGAAGCCCACATTGCTACAGCGTTTACTAAAAGTCTATGTACATAATAACCTTTCAAACCAGGAGCCAAATTCTTGCGATTTTCGTACGGAATCTCTTCTCTCGGTTTTCCGAGGGAAGCAATCATATGAGGAAATTCTTCTAAAAGTTCTTTTGTCTGTTGGTTTTCAAACCAATGATATGCTTGCTTTGTAGAACGAAGAGCATTCATTATACTTTGCATTTGGTACATGTCATCTTTGACCGAACGAATGAGGCGAAGTTGTTTGTTATATTGTATGTATTCGTATTTTTCATTAATGGCTTCATGGACTATAACTGTTGTTGTGTTCTCTGATGTTGACATTACTGTCTTTACATACAAAATAAAAAAATAAATAAAAATAAAACTAACTTTATTTTCTGACTTTACAAAAGACCAAAAATAAACGCTTTACATGTATTTTTCAGCAACTTCGTCAAATAATTTTATAGCTTTATCTATCTCATCTACTTCAAACGTTTCTTTACCTTTCGTGGGAGCACCATACATTTTCTCAAAAACTTCAAGCAGTTCTGTTTCAGCAGCTCTCATATCATTAACAAACACAACCTTGACTCTATTGACTGTACTGTCATATCTTTGAGTTATATTATATGTCCTTCCTATCTTATATCTTTTTGTGTTGAAGTCTTCGGTTTCTGAACGATGTAAAGTAAGCCTTCACTGCAACGTTCCGTATCGAATGAACCATATGTTATGAAGTTATATCCAACAACTGGGTCTAACCATAACAAAACTATTGGTATAAGACTTTTGTCTATAAGATATGCTCTTGTTCCATGAAATGCTACTGATATCATAAGCTCAGGATTTCTTGTCAAAATTTTCTGAGTTGAAGCATTTCTAACCCAGTCGTTTGTTTTCTTTCCAGATGGAGATATAATGTCTGACAAAGAATATTTGTTGTATTTCTTTGAGTATCTTACGTTTAAATCACCTATTCTAACCACTTTGGTGTCATTGTCTATCTTTCTAACTGTTTCAAACTCAATGTTTGTCATTACTGTCTTTACATACAAAATAAAAAAATAAATAAAAATAAAATTAGCGTTATTTTTCTAACTAATGAAATTCATTATTTTTGTGCTGAATTCAATAAAAATAATTTTTAGGTGAAGAGGTGAGATCTCACCTTTTTTTTTCACCTAATTTTTCACCTCTTTTTCACCTCTTTTTTCACAAGCGTTTTACATGAATTGTACGATGTATATTTGAAATCCTAAACAATTTCGTAGCTTCAATTTCTTCTTTTAGTACATCGAATGTTTTAATCATGCCGAAAGTCTCTTTATATTTCTTCTTGACGTCAGACAGAAGGAAATCTTCTGCAGTTGGATAGTTTTTGTTCAGAAATGTCAACATATCCATTTTATCTTCTGCTGGCTTTTCTGCTTCTTTCTTTAAGTCTGCATAGTCGTTTCGCATTCTTTCTATCTCTTTGACTGAGTAGTTATATTTTCTTATTGCTGCTTTACATTTTGAACATTGCGGATTCATTTTTGCGTTATACATTGAAATAAAACCAGCTAGAACAACTAAGGCGTCAATGGTTTTCTTTAACTCAAAAGCTGCTGGTTTTAACTGTTCATGCCATACCTTACCTCTTCTATCTTTATCTCTTATTTCCCAAACACATTTTGCAACTAACGAAACAAAGTTATCGTATGTCTTAAACTCCACCGATTTATATATGTCAGAAATATTTTTATAAACCATGTCGCAATCTTTGTCCATAACTTTATGGTTGCAATGAAAACCAAGGAATTCATAATTTACTTTACGTATGAATTTCTTTATTTCTACTGAGTCAGTTGGTTTCACTTCTATTTCGTCGAATTCAGGAATAGTTAGTTTTTGCTGTTGGATTTCAGGCAATTTGGGTAAATGGTCAATAATGTCCTGCATTTCATAAAGATACTGTTCATTTGTTTCATCTTTCACACTACAGTCTAAATTACTTGTTAAAAGTTCTTGCTTTATCTTCTGGATTTCTGTTTCAAAAGTATATGAAGAAGGAATAAAGCTTTGCATCTCTACCAACATTGACGTAGGATTCATGACTAGCGAGTTTGGTGCTGTAGTTGTTTGAATTGTTGTTGTGCCGATTGTTGAAATCATATCTTTTATACAAAATAAAAAAATAAATAAAAATAAAACTAACTTTATTTTTTCTATCTTAAGGAAATTCATGAAAATTCACGAGAAAGCTAAAGCAATCTGAGCCGCTAAGCGGTGAGGGTGAAAAAACAGGTGAAAAAACGGGTGAGATCTCACCTCTTCACCTAAAATATATTTTTGGTGTAAATTTATGTTAAAATAAATGGTACCATTAATAATACATGACTGTTCTCATTCATGTCTGATTTACATCTAATGAAAAAGTTTAGAAGAATTTTCTTATTCTTTCTGGCTTATTTTTGTCTTTCCAGTACTCCCGCTCTAATGGTCCCAGATGTGTTGACTTTGACTCTCTCAAGTTCTTAGATGGTATAACATCTTCAACGCCTCCTTCATATCTTACTTTATAAGTGTCATCGTTTATGTTGTAGCCAAGTATTTCAATAACCACTCCTCGCTTTGCTTCGTCAATGGTTTCAGCAAGTTTGCCATTACTACTTTCGACTAATTTGTGACGAGGATAAAACGCAATAGAGTCGTCAGCAGCTTTTATAAGATATCCATTACCTTGCGTAGAGTCTACGATATAATAGTTTCTACTTAACCTTAAACGTTTCTTTGTCAACGGTTTGTCGTCAAGAACTACACGAACTTTTGTACCAGGAATGAGGGTAAATTGTGTTGAATTTCTGATATTTTGTGTTTGGCTTCGTTTCTTTTGTATATACTTTTCTTCTTCTTGTTGTGTCATTGAATTTGGTGTATGCCCTGTTGTAGAATGTGTTGAGGAATTATATACTTCGAGAAAATGTTTCATTGTTTCTTCGGTAAAGTCTCGCTCTTGATTTAAATCTCTGAGAGTCCTTATGAAGCGGTTTATGATGCCGAGTATGTTATGGTTATGGTCTTCAGTAGTGTAGTGAGTTATGTTATGCTTAATGAGAAAATCTGTGATTTCATTGCTGAGGTATGCACTGTCTTGGTCTGATGTTAAAGTACTTGGGCTAAGTTCTGCTACAAACTTTTGTAAAACTCTTAACACTTCACGAGTTCCTTTATTTTTCATTGGATATGCATATACTTTACGAGTGTTAACATTAATGAAGATGAGGAATGGTTTATGTCCTCCTTTTCTGCTTTGAATGAGAGTGTCAAATTGGTATGCGTCAGGAGTGTTGGAGTAAATTGGTAAAAAGTAGTCGTAAGGGTTTATTTTTGTTTGATGTACAACATTTTTGTCAAAGAACCTTTTCACTTCAGCTCTGTTAGTAAATCCCCAACTCTTTGCAGCTTCATTGAACTTCTTAAATGACCTCCATGGATGTTGTTCGAATACTTCTTTCAAGCTCATTTATGTAAAGTTAAAGATTTTATTCTAGGCTCAAGCGCGTTCATTGAACGCGGTACCATGCGAATATAGTCACAAATGGTGGCATATAATCTGCACCCGAGCCTGTTGGATTTGTTGTGAAAGTGTGTGAATGATTTCCTGTGGTTTCACAGAAAATAACTGCGCTTGAATCTACTGGGTCGCTTGAAATATCATATCTATGCATTCCCTGTCTATCCGAACCTGCTGCAAGATTTGTATAACCTCTTTTTGTTATTGAATGTGAATGATTACCTGTTGTGTTTGTAGTTCCTGTATGAGTGTGCGCAGGTAAGTTTGGTTCTTTAATTTTCTTTGAGCCTCCTGTTTGCTTTGAAGAGTTAGCACAGTATAAGAATTTGTCTACAATCTGCTGCCACGTACCAAAACCCAGAACTGTTGCTGGATTTGTTGAGTTCATTGACGTATAAATTGAGCCTATAGGATATATGGTTTCAAGAACCTGAGTCTTCATTGTTTGAAGTTCATGTTTAACATTTATAAATCCATTGCCATCTACAATATTTATATTGTTTGTTATTAAACCATTAGGAAAAGTAGGAGGATAAATTCTTTGTTCTTGTACAGTTGCACCGTTTCTTCCTGTTTTTGTTACTATTTCGATGCATGCTTTAATTTCTTTAATCTTGATTGTTTGAAATTCTTCATGTGTATGGTTCTTGTCGGCTTTTCCATTAAGCGCAGCATTTACTTCCGACTTCTTTGCATAATTTTCATCTACATAAGTTTTGTCGACTTTCTTATCTAACAGTTTTGGTAGTTCATATGCTTCAAAGTTTCTGGCATGATCTTCGATATTCCTGCAACTGTTATCTAAATTGTTAAGAGTATCTTTTACGCTTGTACTCGGATTCTCTAAAGGTGCACTTGAACCGAGGGTATAGTTCAATATTATGTCGTCTGCTCTAACAGTAGTGAAGGATTTATGTGTATGTTCTTTGTCAGCTTTCTTATCTAACATTTTTGGTAGTTCATATGCTTCAAAGTTTCTGGCATGACCTTCAATGTTCATACATCTGTTATCTAAATTGTTTAGTGTATCTTTTACACTTGTACTCGGATTCTCTAAAGGTGCACTTGAACCGAGGGTATAGTTCAATATTATGTCGTCTGCTCTAACAGTAGTGAAGGATTCATGTGTATGGTTCTTGTCAGCTTTACTATTTAATGTAGCTTGAAGTTCATTTATATCGGAGATATTGTGCTTATGAGATTTCAAAACTTTGTTCATTGCTTCAAGTTCATCTTTGCTGGCTTTACTTTTAATAGCATCTTCAAAAGTTATTTTTGCCTTAACTCTCAAAGTAAATCTTGGTTCAACTAATACACCGTTAACATTGAAAGTAGAGGCATAAATTTCACCGGTATAACCAAATGCTTCTGGTGCTTTAGCTACATCATACTGTACAGTACAGCTTATGTCATAACCTTTAGCACGAATGTATTTATATCTTCTTTCATTAACATTTTTTGTTTTCGCTTCATCACTTCGTGTTAAATATCCATGGTAGTCCGTTATAATCTGTTCGTCTGAAGTTATATAATGAACGTGGTTCTTGACTTTATCACTCAGAGCTAAAAGCTCATTTTTGTCTGCTTTTTCGGCTAATTTCTCATTAACATCATTCACTTCTAATTCAACTCTTCCGCCAGAACTCTTATTATCATTAATCTTTTTCATTAATTCGGTAATTACGTCATAAAGACTATATTCTGTTTTCGGTTCTGTAAATAATGAGTCAAAATTTCTTTTCATCATTACATCGCTGACATTAATGATATCAGCTATACCTTTTTCATTTATTCTCTTCATTAATTCTGCAATAATGACGAATATATAATCTGTTAATTTATTCTCTTCATCGAGGGTTATAGAATGTTTTGAAATTGAATCATTAACTCCTCTAAATAAATCAATAACTTCAGGATACACGTTTTTAATGTCTCGAATAACCCGACCAGTATCCTGTTGTTCATGTTCTTCGTTCCCGTCGTTACGTGGTTTTATATCTCTAACCATCATCAACGCAGCCATAACCGGAGGGTTTGTTGCTATCTGTTCGAAAATCCGTCCGTTATGTACGGTATATCTAAATAATTTCTTTGTGTTTGTTAAAACATTTGAAACAAGTCTTTTAAAACCATCTACAAAATTTCCTGTTTCACCTAATGTTCTTGCAGCATTTACAAGCTCACCCATTCCCGCTTTTGACCCCAAAAACGTCCATATTGCATTTATTTCACTCTGTATAGTTGTCCATTCAGCAAAACTAATACCTGCATTCGCTAAGCTGAAAATGAAATTCAGTGGATCGAACTTAATTCCACCTTCTTTTTCAATTTCAACGAACTCACTAACATGAGATTTTAAGTATTCTTTCGTTAAAATTGTTTTCCCCGATGTTATGTCATTAACGAAACTATCACCGTCAAAAGTTAACGAATTCAATTTCGTCGTTGATGCTTTTATTTCATACACCGCTTTATCGATAGTTTTTGGCTCACCTTCTTTAGAAGCATATGAAACATTAATGAATGAATTATATGTATTCGTGAATGAGTTAAAATCAATGATTTTCATTAATGACGCCTTTAATGATTCATTTACTGTCGAATCCCTTAAAGTAATTAATGAACTGTCATTTATGAAAGGTACACTGCAAACCGTCGAGTTTGGATCAAATGCTGTAGTTGGTGCAGGAATATTAATGATATAAGTCATTAAATCATTAAGTGACGTAAATAATGTTGTCGTTTTTGATTTAATTTCTTTAGCATCTGTTATATACGGTAATTTTATTTCTGTAGTTTCTGAATTAAAGATATTCGCTAAAATGTTTTGTAAACTGTTTTGAACAGCTGTGTAAACCGTTGAATCCAGAACTCTTACGATTTCACCGTCCTTAATAAAAGGCATTGCACATGGTGTAGTGCTTGGGTCAAATCTTTTTGGGTTATGATTCAACATATATTCTAATGCTTCATAAACAGACCTATATACGGTTGTATTATCTTTTTCAATAATTTCACCGTCCTTTATAAACGGCATAGTACATGGAGTTAAAATAGGGTCAAACTTTTCATAGTCCTTCCATGTTATATATTTCTCAGTATTTCCATCAGAAATAACAATATATTTGTCAGTAAGTGTGAGAGAGTATTGACCAAAATATAAACGTTTAGCTCTGTCAGCTTCATATGCATATGCAGCTATACTCATATTTTAATGAGAATAAAATGTTGTTCTATTTGCAAAGTACAGACCCAAACGAATACGGGACAGTAAAGCTACAAACAAACTTAGGTCTACAGAATGAGGCGCTTGCATTCAGAATGGTTGACTTCAATACTATCGCTTCATTCGTTATAACAGATGAAACAGATTTCATGGAGATTGAAATAGATGGAAAGAAGCACGAAATAAGATTTCACAATAATGTAGAATATAAGATGGAAACATTAGCTGGAGTGTTAAATGCTCTCATAAATACTACAATAAACAAGGATAACGAAGAAAATTTAATGAATGTTAAACTTATTGCAGGAGTTTTGAAGTTCGGTTATGTGAAGGAGTTTAAGATACCAAGAATGAGTCATAGAGTACAACTTCTTTTGGGTGCATACCATATGACATTTCCTTTGAAAAGTGTTGACAAAACGATTGAGATGAAATCTGTTCCATACGTATGTTATGGCAACTGTTTGTACATTGAGTCAAAAATAGCTAATGTCACAGGTATTTCAGGAGTTAATAGTAAAGGTTCAGTAGAATATAAATCCTTCTGTTATGCAGTCAATTCAATGTTCATTCCAAACGTTCCTGTCATAGCAACTCATTTAGGTAAATGGGTTCGCATTAGTCCTCATAATTTGAAAGACATGCAATTCAGACTTGTTGACTTTCAAGGAGAGCCTGTAGAACTGAAGGCACCAGTGCGAATGACTGTTGAAGTTGACTTTTTAGAAAATATTAAATGCAACAGCTTACAAGAGAACTCAGAGCTAAAAATATAAAGTATGAATGTTATGTATTAGGTCATGAACTTTGGTTGTTGCTGTTTGATGAAACAAATGAGTTAGTTATGTCAGTCAAGAGAACAGAAAAATATTGTGTTAGTGAAAACTGCACCAAGTCAATAAGATTAGGTTTGCATTATGAAGATGAGTTCGATACTGTTGAAGAAGTTTTGGATAGATATTACAAATTGCTTTAATTTACTAAAACATATTTCAAACAAAGTTTATATTCTGTAGATAGTTTTGTATATTCATTCGAATATTTATACTTAAACTCAACTCCTGTAGTTCCTGGTGTTTCAATGATGCGGATGTTACCTATTTTCATGAATGGTGGCGTTTGACCACAGCATTCGATTTCAGGGTCGAGATAGTCAATGACACATTGTTTCCCTGTTATTCGTGAGATAACATTTTCAAGGTCCTCCTTTGTTAGAATTATTTGGTTCTTGCTTATAAGATTTACCAAAAGCTTCTTATCGTCTTTGAGTAAAATTGTTTGGTATAACTGAAGAAGGTAATGGTCTACGTTATCTGAAGGATTTGTTTGAACATTTGTGTAAGGATTGTCGTTGGCTTCTCTTGAAAGAATTTGGTCCAGTGGTGGATACTCTAACTTAACATCTGATGTAGCGTTAGCGTTTGAAGCTGAGTTTAAATTCACGGCGCCATGCTCCAAGACGAAGGTCCCGACTTAAGTTCTGGTTCTTTTTCTTTCAAACACTCTGAACTATAGTTCTTTATGACAATATTGTTTGTCGTTCGTGAGTCAACATTTGATGTTGGTTCAATTGGAACATTAACGGCACCAGCTAAGATGGATTTGCTTCTCATTTCATATAGAATAAAAACCTTTTATATGTATGAAATGAACAATATACTCGACAAGGGTTTGAATGTAAAGCTAACGAATGAAAATATTGTTGAATTCACTGAGACAGGAGCTGTGTATAAAGATGTAGAACTACTGAACAAAAGAGCTAAGGGAAGAAGCAGGAACATGAACAAAGGGTGGAAGCCTATAAAAATTTATGTCAATGATGGCTCAGGAGGTTCAAACATAAAGTATGCAGAAAGTTATAGAGTTTATGCTCTCAAAGGTGAAAAGCCTTCATTTAAGAACAGCTATTCTAACGCATATCCTCAAAAGCTAACGGATGGGAAAGTGGATGATATGAATGACAGCAAAAATATTAACAGAAATGGCGACAGAGATGCATGGAATTTGTTTACCATCAGTCAATTGAAGGTTAAACTTTAAAACAATGTTGGTCGTTCCCATGGAATATTTTTGACTTTAATGGTATTAGTCATGATATGAATCTCAAGGTATGAACGAGGAGAGATGAGAGACTTATATGCTTCCCAAATTTCTTCAAAAGGTAATGTTATACCTGACTGTTTCCAAATGAGTTCAATATCATAACGTGAGAAACCTTGAAAGATAACGAAGTCAGTTATGAGACGTTTAATGTTTAAAGCTAAAAACCTCCACGTCTGCATTAGTATTGCTACAGTTAAATGGTAATGTCTGACTTTAGTTATGATGTTCGCTAATGGTGAGTCTGGTTTTGACACTAAACCTTTACCAGCGAAATCATCACAAACTAATAAAGTGTTTGATGGATATTTTTTGAAGGGGTATTTTGAAAGTTTTGACAGAATGTAGTTTGTAAGTCGTTTCATATTGTATACTCCTGAGTATTGACGTAAGTGGTGTTTGTCAATAATTCTTTCCATCTCCTCAGAAGTCTTTTGCATTCCTGACTGTATGAACTCTACGATGGCATAATATTTCCTCTTACGTCGAATGTAACGTTGAAGAAATTCAATGAGTTCACTGTCTGGAACTTTAACGACAGAGGCTTGAACTTTTGACATGAATGTTTTCGCTGTTGAGTCCATAGAGTCTGAAGTTGCTGATATAATGATTTGGTCATAATATGAGTCATTTCCTAAACGTTCTGTTATAAGAATATGACGAATGAGATTAAATGTCTTTCCTGACCCCATCTTTCCACAATAGAAATACACACCATTTGAACAGAATTCATAATCTTTGCTGAAAGGAAGAATAAGAGAAGAGTTAAGTTTGTCTGTAGTTTCATTCATGTCTTCATCTACATCATGTATTAAATGCTTCATTTTATCTCCATTAAAAATGCAAGTCAGAAATATTCAGAACATAGCACCGAGTCTAACTGACAAGAGTATAAAGATATACTATGAACACGTTATGATGAAACCTACCAAAATTCAAGAAAGTCAGTATACTTATGAATATCCAAGACACTGGGTAGAGTATGTAGGAGGTGAGAAAGCTATTGAAATCAGACAGGTTCGAAGTATTCCAGCAGGAAGAACAATATTATTGAAGAACTTTAATGTTTTGAGATATAATGATGAAACAAAGAAGCAAGATAGTTTCCCTGTTGCTGTGTATGTGAACTTAGATACAGGAGATGACATGAAAGTTTTTAACACAAAGCTTCAAACGGTAGTGAGAGAACAACTTACTGCGGAAGGACATCCATTACCTTCAGAAGTTACCATAGCATATAATTTTGAAACAAACTCAATAGATTTTAAAGTCGTCTCTGCAAAGAAGTCAGGTTTTACATTTAATGAAGCAGATGTATATTCGAATGAAAACTTCAAAGCTATTGCATGGTTAGATAATGACGATTGCTTTAAGAAAATATTTAAATTCAGTGACTCAAAGATGTCAATAGATGACCTTCGTGGAATGTTACCATCGACGTTTACAGTTGAAGGTTCAGCAGGATTGCTTACAAGATTGTCAATTGGTGGTATTTGGTCTCGTGAGAACATTGTTATAAAATCCAGTATAAGTGAATTTGCTGAAGAATCTATATTATGTCTTTCAAACTACATGTATTCGCCGCCGAAGCATTATAGTATAACAAACTTTGTCAGTAAGTTTAACATAAGACTTGTCGAACCTTCTTCAATGAAAGATGTTATGCTACCTAAAGATGGAAAGGATGGACTCATTATTGAGATGATTTTAATAGCATATTAAATGAGCTTGTTCTTGAAGGTCATTCATGATGAAATAACTGTTGTAGAAGATGTTAGCAATTGTTCAGACATTTTGAAGCGTATAGATGAGATAAGAAAGAAGTTAGATAGACCGCAAAGCGGTGAGGGCGAAGCCCGTGAGAACGTTTATGTTTCATTGACTTTCTCCAGTAACGAGAACTTTTATGAGATAATATTGAAGAGAGATGATTTTAATATGGTGTAAATGGTAGCTTGGGCAGCTTTAGGCACAATGGGAACAAAAGCATTAGCATTTGGAGCAAAAGCACTTGGAGCTTATGACGCAGTAAATAAAATGAGTGGAGGAAGGGTTTCAAAGACATTAGATGCAAATAAAGGGAAGATTGGAGGCTGGGTTGCAAAGAAGTTAAGATTAAATAAAATAGGGCTCATAAATAAAGCATCCAATTTGGTTGCGACTGAGTCAGAAAATGCTTTAGGAAAGGACGATGAGTTTGCAAAACACGCAAAAGACTTTAATGACCAGATGAAAGGTGAAACAATGCATTTAAATAGAGTCGATGGAACTAAAGAAAATGTTTCTTCTCCACCAGTAGTTCTTCCGTATGGTCCCTATGGAATGTATGGAAACCCTTACGAAAGACCATTTGACCCATTGACTGGTGGAAGTAACTGGTATCATTACGGACGAAGAAGAAAGACAGTTAAGCTGGAGACAGACGTGAAGAAAGCAACTAAAAAGAAACCAACGAAGAGAGTTATAAAGCAATGAATTCAACAGGGTGAAAAAACAGGTGAAAAAAGAGGTGAGATCTCACCACTTCACCTAAATTTATTTTTGTGCTATGTTTTCATACGTGTGAGGGTGGTGATATCATTAATTTTTAAGTTTATTTTTTATTTTACTGAAAATTTTTATTTGGATGTAAATGACAGAACAAAAGCAACTCATACAAATCGAAAAATATAACAAACATACATTTAAACATTTATTCTTCCTTCCTGAGCATAACATGTTCTTTACACTTCATCCTAGACCAGTTGACTATACATTGACTGTGTATAAAGATTGTCATGGTAGTTTTATAAAAACTTATGATGATGAAGGTAAGTTAACAAGACTATGCATTTCAAAACTTGAGAAACTTTATGACTTCAAGTATGACTACAATAGAGTTAACACTGACGATGAAGATATAGAAGAAAATTTATGAGAACGTTTATTTTTTCATTAATGAGTTCGTTAGCGAAGTGAAGTGGTTGGCGGCTTTGTAAATATTTAAGGTTAAGTTAGTTTTTGCGTTCGTGTTGTAAAATGTACGTTAGTGGTTTTGTAAAGTGTCAAATTCACAAGTATTGGGTAAGGTGGAACGCAGTGCCACCATACCCAAGACTGGTGTACTAACTAGTGTTGGTACTGCTGGCTAATGAAAGCTGGCGTTGAAGAGGAGCGTTGGCAGAGAGCTGGCGTTGTGGCGGGGTGTTGGCAGAAAGTGGGCTTTGTAGAGGAGCATTGGCTGTTGAGAGCTGTTGCTGTGGAACAGAGTTGGTAGTGCTGGCTGATGAAAGCTGGCGTTGTAGAGGAGTGCTGGCTGATAAGGGTTCTTCCTGTATACGAGAGTCGTTTGAACTTTGTAATATCAAATAATCGGTAAGGAGAGTGTCATCTCTGTGTTTCAAAATGGATGAACACTCGTAGAGTCGATTATTATATTTAATGTAGAAAGTAGTAAACTCTTGAAGTTTGTATGTATGATGTAAGTACTCTTCAATAGTAATTAGTCTATTACATAAGAGAGCTTTGTAAAATGTTATCTTGTTAATTGATGAACGAATAGTGTTGTTGACTAATGGAACATTTGTGAGAACAATGGCTAACGGTGTGCGCCTTTGAATCTGTGCTAGAGCTGTTTCAAGCCAAGCTGAATCAACTAAGGTGTACAAATTCATTTTAAACAAATTTGAAATGAAAT